GCAGCCATCCATTTCACATTCATCCCTTAAAGGTGCCCTAGAATGTTTTTTTTTATTATTTTATAATGTTTCCTGGGTTACCCTTATAATGTTAGTATGTTTTTTAGATAAAAAATAATCATAATTTAGAAATAAATGGCATTTTTCCTCGCCTGCTTTTAGCCTCTGATTTGAACACTCTGTTTGAAGGGGCGTGTCTGCTGTGGGATTCAGTGTAACCGCGGCCACTGCTGTGATTGGCTGACATGCTTGCATATGAAATAGCTAGTAGGCATTACATGTGAAACTCTCTCCCGAATACTTTTACTACTGCTATTATACGTTTTTACTATAACAGCTATTGAGATTAACGAATTGTGAGATGTTTTTAAAGTATTTAGATCTATTCCCATCACATAAAATGTTGCCGTGATGAGCATTGAGCAGATGACTGTGTGTTGATCGCGAGAATGAAGATCTAATCATTGCAAAGCAGTTTCTGCACTCTCTCTGCTTTCACCAATGCAAACACGATGATGTAAATACAGTAAGAGCTTCGTTGTGCAGTAACGTGCGTCATTGATTTCATAACGAGTTTGGCAAGTGTCCAGATAAACTCGCGCTGTGGAAAGATTGTTCTTTGATCGCTTTCTGTATATACTTTGTTCACAATTTAAATACGATTATTTTCATCCTACTAAAAGAAACGATGTGAAGCTGATATTTTAGTCACTTGACTTACTGATGCATAAACAGTATTGAACGACTTTGAGAGAAAGATTACCTGTCTGAACTTGAACAATTACTCATCAGAAAGTGTTGCTTGGTAGCTCGATCCGAGGCCAGCTCTGTATTGGCTCAAGTTGAGGAAACAGTCGGTGAAATGTTTGGAAATTTCCAGAGAAAATAAAATTAACCCATTGTTTCTTCAGAGGCTCAGATGAAGGAACTAAAAAATACTTTTGTGTTCATGTGTACATCCACACTGAGCAACTGCCATGCTTCGGCTGTGCAGTTCCACCTGGCATTGAGGGCTGGCATTATGCAAATATTTGGAGGCGTACATATTAATGATCCCGACTATTGCGTCACAGTCGGTATTGTGTGGAGAACCGACCGTTTTCCATAAACGTGAATTAAATGAGAACGCGAAAACAGTCCAGTTTGAGATTCACTCTATGTCATGTCCATGCACTGAACTCTTGTTATTTGACTATACCAAGGTAAATTCAATTTTGAATTATAGGTCACCTTTAAGAAAAGCTACTTCCATTTAGATTGTATTCAGAATAGCACACTACTATTACTATTTCTGCAATATATAGTAAGAACAGTATGCAAATGTTTTGTATGTATAAAATACCTGAATGAACTACAGTATACGGCGGACAGTGTATACTGCATGAGATACTGTATCCCACAATGCACTGCACTCGGGTTGACCTACCTGTCGAGACAGATTAACGACAGATGTGATAACTAAGTGATAAGCTGCATGATCAAACTGCCAAAAGTTATGACGTTTTTTCACATAAAATTGGATTAAAATTCAAATTATACGTTTGTGAGATTATAACTGGATGACATTTACTCAATTAAACATGCATGAGTCATGTGATAAACATGTAGACTACTTAAGTATGCAGGAAGTAGTATGTACTTTGTCACATGTAGTATACTAGACTTTACTAAAGGATACTAGAGTTTGTACATTTGTATTGATGAATAATTTGATATACAGTAGTTTCACATACTAGTATTTAAAGTGTTTTTTTAGATATTACCTTTCATGATGTGTAACAGATGTTTGTGAATGTAAACGGTCTGTAAAGTTTCAATGATCAAATATGGTAATGGCCATTTTGTTTTCGGGGCCGTCAGACCCATAGATATCATATAATAAAGGCTAGATGTCTTACGGCAGAGTCACTTCCGGCATCACCGTTCGGCCATCTTGTCACAGGCAGGCTCTGATGTTCGATGAGTGATCAGCATGAACACAAATACTCTTATCTCGCTGAAATCTTGACGGATTGACAAACGGTTTGGTTTCTTACAAACGTTATTAACATGGCTATAATTCTGAATGCTTGAACATATATGTTATAATTATTCATATGTATGCAGTGTCATAACTACATCTCTGACGTTTATAACAAACCAAACTGTTTGAATATCGGTAGAAAATTGAGCAAGTTATGGTTATTTAAAAGTACATGCACCATAAAAACACAATGTTACGAGTGAGCGAGCTGCCTGTGACAAGATGGCCGCCACGTGCGGATGTCGACCTCCATTGGCCAGCAGCGCGGACGAGACATCTAGCCTTTATTATATGATATCTATGGTCAGACCAATCAGAGCAGAGTAGACCAATCACAAGAGACTGGGCCATCTGACCAATCACAACAGACAAGGCCGTCTGACCAATCAGAGCAATCACAACAGACTGGGCCATCTGACCAATCAGAGCAGAGTAGACCAATCACAAGAGACTGGACCATCTGACCAATCACAACAGACAAGGTTGTCTGACCAATCAGAGCAGAGTAGACCAATCACAACAGACTGGGCCATCTGACCAATCAGAGCAGAGTAGACCAATTACAACAGACTGAGCCATCTGACCAATCAGAGCAGAGTAGACCAATCACAACAGGGGCACGTTCAAGTTCAAAACGGTGCACAACGTTTTGCTACGGTATGTTTCCTGGAAACGGTGTGCAACGGGGTTTGAGATGCGTTTTCTCTTGTTTAGTGGGTGTGTCAGAACTGCAGTCCAATCAGCAGCAACATGTATATAAAGCACGCGGTATTAAAGTGAACTCGCACAATGGGTTCAAGGAAAGTAATTTACAAATGTGTTCGATGCAACTCGGTATACGCAACAACTGAGGATATTAGAAGACATGTTTGTCGTAAGTTTTATTGTAAAAATATAGGATATCAACATAATGATGTAGTTGTTTATATTTTTAGCTTCATTGCAAGTGTATGATATTTGGTATAGAAATAAACAATGGCAATTAAGTGCTTTTCCTAAAAATGAGAAAAAAAATACAGGGTATTAAAACAGTATGAACTACAAATAAAGTCAGTATGTGAGGATAAATAGATGTGTTTTAGTCTGAATTAGGTAAGATGTGTGCATCCATTTCAGTTTCCACAAATCCCTTCACTCGATTGGGATGTTCTCTTGTGTTCTGGCCGGCAAGTGCAGTAACTGTAACATCGGGCATATTTTGTAGTATTAAACACATATTTAACACATATTTATACCAACTTCATCAGGCTCCGAAAATTCTTCACAAAGAACACAAAGAATGGCCTTTCTCAGCTGCCATAGTTGCAACTCTTGCGTCATCAGAACAGTGTGTTCAACGCATCACCGTTTCTGTTTAAAAAACGTTGTGGAACGTTTTGTCGGGACTGAACGCAGCCCAGACTGAGCCATCTGACCAATCAGAGAAGAGTAGACCAATCACAACAGACGGGGCCATCTGACCAATCAGAGCAGAGTAGACCAATCACAACAGACGGGGCCATCTGACCAATCAGAGCAGAGTAGACCAATCACAACAGACGGGGCCATCTGACCAATCAGAGCAGAGTAGCTCTCAGAAAGGAGAGGTTTATAAAGACAATCCTTTATCAAACGGGCACTGAGAAAAGAGGTGATGCTGCATTGTATATTATAAGAAAATTAAAGTGTTTTTTGATCTTGGATGTATGCAAACCTATTGTAGGAGACCTCCAAAACAAACCTTTAAAATAGCATAATAGGGCCCTTTATTGGGCAGGTAGCAGCACACTAGTGTTCCAGCTAATCCACAATTTGGAAATCATTGCAGCATTTCTGCTGTGGAGGAATTTACTGACTTCACTCCCACTCAAAGTACTGTACCAGCCAGCAACTGACATTACAGCACATCTACACACCCATCTGTGGCTGATAATTATGGCTTTCTGAGATGCGTTCTTAAATAACACCAGTAATCTGACCTTCAGTCCCCAAGGCTAAATCTTAAAGCTCACATGCAAACAAAGCACAACACATTCAGACAGAGGAAACATTCTCAAAAGTCCCTGTTAGTCATTTTACAGCATATACTAGTATCCTAGAAGTCATTCTGCATCTGCAAAATTGCTACTGTAGTTAATACCACAAACATGCATGATCCACTGAAACTTAAAGCTGGTTTATACATGCATGCATGATTTGTAATATTCCAGTATCCAATATCTTAACCATGTTTTTCTTAGTGTGAAGAACATTTTAATAAACTAAAAAATTTAAAGGCACACCGCGGAACTTTTGGCCACTAGTGGCGCTCGACCTGTAACTTTCACGTCTAGCGTCCCTAGAGGCCACAAGCTCCGCAGCACTGTCGCAAAAGTCAACAAACAGTCAACCGGTCAGACCATAGACAGTGGGTCAGCTTCCCGTGTCTTTAGATTGTGTGTGCTTGCAGTGTTTGAGGCGGGCAGCCTTGCCGCGCTCGATTCCCTTATAGCAGTCTGCTGAGAGAGAGCGAGCGGGGCGAGCCCCGTGGGGCTTAGTGCTAACATGTCTGAGTGAATGTGGGCGCGGGACGGCGGGCACATTTACTGCACTAAAAACACCGTCGGCCTGAGCTGACTGTAACTTATGCGTGTTGGTTTCGTTTTACAGAAACCGTGGGACATGTTGTGTGTAGTGTTTGTGGGCACTGAGTCATGGGCACGTTCACTACATTTAATGTACATTTGACATGAGTCGACTTTATTTGTGCGAGCCCTGCACTGTGGCGGGCTGTGTTTGTGTGTAGAAATGAACAATGGGCTGTGGGCATTTTATTACACTCATAACACTATCGGCTGTGGCCGGAATACCAGAAAATACTACACTACTTATATGATTTATCTGGGTCACCTTGGAAACGGCATTTGTGTGCAGGCAAGCGTCAGCATCGGTCGGGCACCCCTCCTCCTCCTGTAGCTCACGCCAGCGAGCGAACGCTGGACCAATGGTGATCCTCGTCCTGGCTTTTCATTTGTCACTATGCCTTTTTCTTTTTTTTTTGTGTCCTCTGACAAAACCTTTGCCTTCTTCCTTGTAGCTGTTGGTTCGGCCATGACGAAAACATACAGACGGCAATCAAACGCAAGTTGAGCACTCACGTCAGAATCTGAGGAAGTTGTGGGTGGTGGGGGAAGTGACGTATGCCGTAAAGCGGTTGAATTTTGTAGTTCTTTTTGTGCTCGGGTTCCTACCCGAAACCCGAAGTTACATAGTGCTAGGAAAAGCGATACAGACACCTTCAGGCTACGGCAGACGTGTCATTCAACCTATTGTAAGTCGATGTACCATCTCAATGGGTTTTGGTAATATATTATAAAGGTTGAAAAGTTCCACAGTGTGCCTTTAAAGAACCTCTCGTTTAATGGAAAGATTCCATGGATGTTAAAGGTTCTTCATAGAACCATCGATGCCAATAAAGAACCTTTACGTTTAGAATGTCTACGACTATTGCAGACACTTTAGGATTTTAAAAGAAATTTACAGAAATTGGACTTAGTTCATTTAATAAACAGTTTCCACAATCTTCTCAGGTTTGAACTATCAGCGAACTTGACCTTTAAATATAGTTTGAAGAGAATTTCTCCAATTACTGATCAGGTGATAATCAAACTTACCCAGATTTGTAATTTGATCCTCTTGTTGTTGCGAAAAACGGTTTTCACCTTAAAGTCGATCCCCACCGTGCTGACGAAGGCCGAAGTGAAGGAATCATCCGCGTAGCGAAACAAGAAGCTGGTTTTACCCACACTGCTGTTGCCGATGATGAGGAGCTTGAACATGTAGTCGAAGTTTTGGTCAGCTGCGTCTTTCTGTGACGGCTGGAGGTGCGAGTTGGCCACTGATGCCATCTGAAAGAGAGCTTTCAAAAATCAATACAAGATTTGAGAAATTCTTCTTATTTTAATGACCTCGTATTTCATTTAGAAGTTGCCTACAACTATTTAAATACATAAAACCATATGAAATTTGTTAGTCCAAATTGTGCCTCATTTCAAGTCGACATGAAATCAAAATCGACCCCATTTAAATTTCTAAACATATTGCAAGAACAACAACATACAGTCCAACATTGTTTCTAATCAAACTGTCTCACTGTTTCAGGTTGACTTCAAATAAATGACACATTGATTCATGTCTGAAAACGAGTGTCTGTTCACCCTCTGAGCACAGCCTTCAGAACCAGCCATCTCCGCCGACAGGAGAGCCCAAACTAACAAGCAAACTCTTGGGAATGGAAACACAACCCCTTCACCCTTCAGCTGATCAATCAGACCCTCACGGGCCCGTCTCCATCGCGACGGGCCCCCCAAACAAAGCATGCAGACCCATTAACAGGCGCTCCGAACACCACTCCACTCCAGAGGTGGAGATGCTACAACAAAGAGACCGACTGCCCACATCAGCTATTGTCTCAAGGACACAAGAGCACTTGTTAGCTAGGATCTTTTTGAGCTCATTTGCAGTAGTAATTTAGAGTGGCAAGTTTGTGAGTTGGAGGGGCTGAAGGACTGATATTCATGCTCAGTATCGCGGTTTTGTGTGAGAAGCTTGCAACTGGTCTGGTGGTTAATCCTAACGTTCAGATAACAGTGTAGAGTAGGGTTGCAAAATCGTTGGGCAAGACAATAAGAAACACTCGAGAGGTTTTGAAACATCTTCCTATTTTGAAAGGAAGCACAGAATGCATTAAGTGGATGGTTTACTCACAGTTTCTGATTTTTAAAAAAAATGAATGAATACTTTTATTCAGCAAGGATGCATTAAATCGAACAAAAGTGACAGTAAATATGAAGCAGCACAACTGTTGTCAACATTGATGATAATCAGAAATATTTCTCGAGCATAAAATCATCATATTATACTGATTTCTGAAGGATCATGTGACACTTTTCTATTCAACGTCGTTTTAACTTGCTGTTACTGCCTTATTGTTTGAATGAACACTAAAGTTGAGTAAAACTGTAGTTTCTTAGGCCTTTAAGGATCTTAAGCTCCCTAAAAGCCCTTGTCACATGCTGAGCATGTGCACTGGCTACATGAAGCCTTCCAATATTAAAACTGAAGCCAAAGACAAAGTCATTAAAAGGATTTATTTATAATAATGAGACACTGGCGAGCCAAATCCCCCTATAGCTGCTTTGGTTTTATTTATTGTCATTTCTGCAGTTCAAATGCGCATCTGTATGAAGCCATAAAACAGATCTGATAAGGCGAATATGCTCGGCATTCATTTTACAGCTCAATTTAATAGTTTGATACCAAATGGCACTCAGCACAGCTCTCCGTCCATTAGTAAGAACACTGAATCGCATCCCAATTGTCCCATTAAGAAGACAAATCAATAATGCTTATGCTATGGACTCCCCTTCCCCCAATTAACATTACGTTTACACTTTCACATTAATAATAAAGACCTACTACAACATGAAATATGGCATCACCTTCAACCATGTAATCCTCATTGAGGAAAATTGTACCACAGTTTGATTTGCCCGGTTAGTACCATTGCACAATTACGTAAGGGTCTTTGTGTCTAATTTGACGTTCAAAAGTTTCAGTATGATGTTCTGTTAAACTATGCATAAACTATGAATAGCCTACATTATGCATGATGATATGCGCAAGGATACCAGAAAGGGACGTGAGGTAACCATCCATAAAATAGGTCTACATGGAACAAATGCCAAACGCATCTTCGCATTAACCAGAACTTCATTCGCCAACAAAAGGAAAAAAAATGCTTTAAGTAAAATACCAGCTTCGCCTTTCTGCTTTAAACCTTACGGGAATGTCTTGCCTCATAGACTTCCACTGGATGCGTTTAACTACATGTGATTTGTACAGCATTAAATGAACACAACTCCATTTCAATGATCAGATCTCTCTGCAAAAGCTCAGAGACCCGCAGGACCGAAATGCACCTCAGCTGGGTTGAATGCCCTACGGCTGGCTAATAGATCAGTGATCTGGAACATCTGAGATTCACCAGAGGGCCGATCGGTGTTTGGAGGGACGGGGTCTCTGGTTACCATGGTGCTGCTGATCTGTCTATTGATCGTCTGGCAGATGTCCAAACTGTGTTCCAGCATAATGGAATTAAACAGGACACAATTTACTTTCATGCATTGCAGACAATCACAACTACATTTCATAAAATACATAAGCTGATATCTAATGAACTAAATAATGTGTTGTTTGATCCGTGCAATGCAGGAGGTTTACCATACAACAATAACAGCAATAAATAAATAATAATTAAATGAATGAATATATAAATAAAGTGATTGATTAAATGAATGAAAAAAGAAAGGGTATAAATCCTTCAACTTAATAAACTCAGCTTTCTTTTCAGCTTGTCCTTGGTATCACATGATACTTTGATATGTACATTACCATGGTATTTGCATGGTATTTTAAAGTACCTCGAAGGTAATTGTACCACGGTAAATGGATACTTTTTTAATGAAAGTGTTCTTGTGCTGCTGGACTGAACTCAAATCTTCACTCTCTGACGTTCTAAACTATTTTAAAGACCAACAATGACATAATCACGGTGGCATAATGAACAAAATGTAAACATTTCATATCCTGCATGAACATGACCTAGAGTTCATGAAGCTGCTGTCGTTTTCCCATCCGGAGAAAGAGAAACGTTTGTATGAGGGTCAAAAAATAACTTTCAAACGTAAAGACTATTAAATTGAGATCCATACCTTCAGACGGGTAGTCGGTGCTTTATCTCGTGCTCCGGTAAAGCCACCGGGACTTCCTCGCGTGGAAAAGCGTATGTAACAAACTCTGTAGTCTGTGTCGGTGTGTAATTGTGTTTGTGTGTGTGTGTGTGTGTGTGTGCGCGCGCGCGCGTGTGACGGAGCTCCCGGATCTGAAGTGTGTACACAGCGACTTCCAGCTCCGTCCTGAACAGCACCTCAGCTCTTTTTCTTACTCTACACACTCTTTGTTTCGCAAATATATAGCCTACTCTATATAGGAAATGTGAATCTATCTATCTACCTATCTATCTATTAATTTTTGATTCCTGCATTTGAAGTGAATTTAAATTGAGGTTGGATGCGGATTTAACGTTCACGTAGGAATATCAAAATGTAAGTAGGAATCAAATGAAAATCCTTGGCTAAAAATAAAAAAGTCGATGGATAAATAGGAAAGACAATTAGTAGGCTAGGCTATAGTGTAGGCTAATTGTTTTTATTGTTTAGTAAATAATCTTTCATTGGAAAAACCATGATATCTATGGGAAAAAACACTTCATTTCCCAGGATGCAGTTACTTCCTGTAGGTTGTAGACAATTCATATCAAATCCTAACTCATGAAATGCAAATCTAGTTTCATTGATATCACCTCGACACTGATTGAGTCATAATTATGCTCAAAAGTATCAAGTTTTTGTGAAAATAGCATCATCACAGCACTTAAAATGAGTTTTCTTCAATAAATCCTTTGCATCTCTTCCTTGTTTATGTCACCTATAAGTCTTATTAGCATTAATGTTTGCAAGTGTCTGTTTTGTCAGTGTAAGCGTCAGAATGTCACATTTGTAGCCACATCTATTTTATTTTATTTAAAAACTCAACTTGAGCTAAACATGTATACAGCAGTTGTTATCTGAATAGATTAAAAAGAATCAACAGATCTTCACAGCAAAGGCTTGAATATGCCAAATCCACAAAAGTACATTAGCATGTATTGATCTTCAACAGCTCTTTTCCATGTCCACCGTCATAACAGGAAATGTACTTTGCTGTTCAAACTGTAAGTTTACAAAGATGATCAAAGGTTCATTTACTGTACATTCGTTTTTCCATAGAGTTTAATTGCCATTTTAGTGTCATTCAAATATAGCCAATATAAACAGCATTTTATGATGGTCAATCCTAATGTTGGTCCTCCACAAACAGCCCTCTAGTGGGAAAATACAAGTATTGTTCACATTGTGAAGGATAAAGGCAAAAACAGATACGAATTATAGTACATACTTGACCAAAACACATTCTTTAAGCAATCATAAACAGCTATATTATCAATAACATATGTTTAAATAGATATTCTGTTTATTATAAACAAAAGATTCAGTGCAATTACCCACTTTGAAACATTTTAAAGTAGGGAGAAATACTGCGAATATCCATAATAATATAATTTAATATGGCTGGGCATCTTTATATAATAAAAAATAAAACGAAAAAATATACTTTGTCTGAAAAGAGTTATGCCTTTATATATAGTTTTTTTGGGGTAACACTTTACAAAAAGATTGATAAATGTAACAAATGTATCACTCATTGTTAATGCGCTAAAAAAGAAACTTGATAGTAACATAAATTGTCACAAACACACTTTAGTTCAATGCAAACTAAAGCATTAGCCTGCCATTCATTTAAAGTGAAGAAATTATGGCAGAAGATTATTATTATTTTAATTCAATTTCCTACTACTCAGTTTATTATACATTATATTATAACTAAAATAATAATAATATTCTAGTGTGAATGGAAAATAGACTGAAACCCAATCACAAATAAAATGGACTAAAAAGAGATCTGACTCCACTTTTAGGGACAGTGTGAATGCAAAATCAACTGGGCAACTTTTCACTCGTTTCACTTTTGGGTCTGAATTGGTTTCTTTTAACCTTAAAGAAAACTAAACACTCTTGTTGTATACAAACTAGAATCATTGTTGTTATACAAAATAAAAGCGAACAGACACAGGATAATTCATATAAACATATCTGTCTGTCTGTACTCTCTCATACTCATATAGATCCCAAATGGAGGGCCAGGTAAATGAGATTGATGGTGGTGGAGACAAAGCCTATGAGGTTACAGAGGTTAGACAGACCATGGTAGTGGTAGAAGGTGGATCTGTGCTCCTTGTATTTGGGGTCCTGCTCACGCAGTTTGACGTATCCTTCCTTATTAGAGCTCATACCCACCTGAGCCCCCAGCCCATGCTCCTTCTCGATCTCCTGCATGACCAGCATGCTCTCTGTGGCAGACGGACCGAACCACTGTGCGTTCAGACCGGCCATGATCACGGCCACAAAGAACAGACTCATCTGTTGGGAATATTAAAAGAGCGCGTGAGAGAGGCATGATAGTGAGGGAAAAATTAATGCAGAAATTTGTGACGGGTCACCTGTATGCCCTCATGCCAGTCCAGCAGTTCTCTGGGATGGTACACGGCATATATGGCCAGACTGACTGCATTACCGCCAAGCACACAGTAAAAATAAAACGGGAACAGCTTGCTTTGCACGAGACCGAACGTGTGCATGGATACCTGGGAGATCAGCACAAAACCTGAGGGTGAAAAATGGAATAAGGATCATATGGCAGCATAATTAATTGAAAGTAACTTAATACTAGTGTATATTAATTTACCTGCTATAAAAGACACCCACACCTGCATTCCCCAGGTGAACGAAATCACCAGGAGGTGAAGCACTTTCATAAAGTCAGTTGGGTCTCCCTCAGTAGCCATAATTAACTTCTGAAAACTAAAGTGAAAATCAATCAATAATCAGCACATAAAGATGCACAGTCTCTCTCTCTCTCTCATACATACATATATATATATATATATATATATATATATATATATATATACATATACCATCACACACACACATAAATAAATTACAATTGCATGCATGCACATAACGTCCATTCAAAGTGTGTCTAATGTTCTCCATAGATAAGAGCAGTGTTTTCTGCTGGACTGGTGTTGATAAGATGAGAACAACATGCAATTGCAATACACAGCCTGTAGTTTTTTAGCCTTTGAACCTTAGCGATGATCCTGATCGCTTATGTTTTTGGATCCATCCACTTATTAAATTCACATCAGATTTCTTTATGTCCCGTTAATACAGGAATGACAACAGCACGTTTCGAGACTTCCGTGATGGTCGTTCACGCAATTTGTTACTTACGCAAGCATGAAACACTGAAGCAATTTCCTTCTCGTGGTACATTATGTCCATTCATAGAAAATACATACCCGATTTTTTTATGCAGGTCTTTCTATATTAATCCGTTTCGAAGAAACCTGTAATTGTCTTGTCTTCTACACAAAATTTCTGCTGCTCCTGTTTGTTCGATTATCACCACTAACTTGTTAGTCCCGCCTCCATTACGACAACATCCAATCGCTCTGTTTTTCAAGTATATGGACGTGTATCATCCAATAACGCTCTATTATTCAAATATGAGGACGCATATCATCCAATCATGATGCAAGGTGCTGCTTGTCTCTCTAATGCCCACCCAAAATTGTGACAAATTAACAGATAACTAACAGAAATTAAACTTTGGGTTATCATAGATATCTATAATAAAGGCTATATTATGGCCTATATAAGGCTATATCATTTATTATGGATATCTATGGTTATAACACTGACTCTATAATATTTATAAATATTTTTCATACTTTTTAGTTTTTCAGCTTTTGTAATTGTATTGTGCTTTTTGTTTGTGCTTAAGTTTCCGTTAAATGTTTTTAATTGAGGTTTTTCATCATATAGCCTACTTACATTTTATGTCATTTTATTTCAGCTTTATTTAAATTAGTCAACAATTTCAACACCGATAATACTAAACACATGAAAAGTATTTGTTTTGTTAGGAGTTTATTGATCGAGATGTAAGGAATGGCTTAGTAACATCAAACTCAACCTATTAATATAAAAGAAGTCAAACATAAAATTAAAAATGTATCTTTTTTATAAGAGAATAATAAATAAAGATGCTTTTGATAATATCTATAGACTGTATTGTTTATCTAAAACACTCAATTACAGTGTGTTGCCGTTCTGGTGTTTAATGGTTGGAGTCAGAGCCGATTCTAATTTTAAGAGCATAATAGGATAATTTTTTGCTAATATTAATAACTATAATAAGTATGCACATAAAACGCACACAATGTATTTGTGCGTAGTTTGTTTTTGCTCTGAATGTCGAGTCATGTTGTAGTTCCGGTGTCCCTCAGTAGAGGGCGCTCCGCTCCAGACTCAGACCTGAGCCGCTCCTGAACTCCTGTGACCGGGCGGAAGTGAACCGGATCCCGTGTTTATCCCAGGCAGTGTGTGCTGTTGTTCTCTTAGCGAGAGTCGCCTGACGTTAATCGCAGTTTTTGGTAAGGGATTTGTGTTTCACCGAAGGCATAATGTCTTATTTAAATGCTCGTATATATCGCGGGAGTTTTACCCATATGGGTTTGCTCGGGGATATAATGTATTTGCAGTTTACTGAATGTGTTTTGTTTGTTTCTCTGTTGTGTGTTTCCTTACTTTAAACTCATTAAGATCTTTGAGCACCTCTAAATATCACAAAACTGTAAAATGCGAATAAGAAAAGAAACATTATAAACATCCCAGCTAGAAATACACCAGTTTGAATATTATTTGTATCTTCATTATGGCAGTTTTAAGACCTGTTGAGACAGTAAGCGTGAATTAATATGTTGCCATTAAGAATGTAGATTAATCTTACATTACTTTTAGATGCTGAATGTCATTACATGAAAGGTTAGCATGATCTTTGTTTATTGTAAACCTCAAGGCTGTTGCTTGTTCTGTTTATTGTTCATATATGACACAAGCAGCGCCTTCATGTTTCATAAACATTACTATGAAAACTATAATTGATCTAATTTTGTTTGTGCTTGTCAACATGTATTATTTCCCCTCCATGAAGCTTTTGACAAGATGGGACGCCGAAAGTCCAAGAGAAAGCCTCCTCCTAAGAAAAAGATGACGGGAAACCTGGACACCCAGTTTACCTGCCCCTTCTGTAACCACGAGAAATCATGCGACGTTAAGATGTAAGAATATACTAGAATGCTCTAATACTAGAGCAAGAATACTCTTTAGACTTTCATATCTGTTGCGTTGAACAAAACAATCACTAACACACAACCGTTTTACTTCATTCCAGGGAAAGGAGTCGAAACACGGGGATAATATCATGTACTGTGTGTCTAGAAGAATTCCAGACACCAATTACCTGTATCCTTCTCAAAATCAGTTTGAAAAGACATGTGCATGTGAATTATTAACAGTGTGTATGTAAGTGATGTTGTTGTTGTCCTTAAACACCCTCTCAGATCTCTCAGAGCCCGTGGACGTGTACAGCGATTGGATAGACGCTTGTGAAGCAGCCAATCAGTAGTTTCGCTGGGTCAAATGTCACAGACGACCAAATTATGCTTTATGTTTGTTTGTTGTTTGTTTTAAACCCATGTAATGATTCGCTGTAATGATTTTCCTTAAGAATGATCTAATATAGCCACAGATGAAGGTTCAGGAAACATTGAGATTGTGGTTTTAAACCCAGCCTTTTCCCTTTTGTTTAGTTGCTGAGAAAATGCAAGGGATGTCATTCATTTAATTCAGCCATTTTTCTTCTTTTCACTAGTTTCTAATCTTTTAGTTGTTACAATTTAGGTTTTTATAAGACCATTCAGTGTCAATAAATGACTTGCATATTCTCTCTCGTGGAAAACTGTGGTCTGTTTCTGTTGTGTTTGAATCACGTAAGAACTAAAAACGGAAAACTGTTTGGCTGCTCATTTACACGACAACAGCGTTTTGCGGGCCTGAAAACGTAAACTTTTGGAAACGGGTTTCAAAGGGGAAGTTTTTTAAAACGATACTGTTATCATCTCTTGTGTAAACTACAAAAACACGAATCTGTGAAAATGGTGACGTCATGTGTATTATGTGTTCAGCCTATAGGCGCGTTGTTTCTTTACAAAGTTACATCGCCATCTTCTGGCTTGGCATGAATAAGTGTTTTTTTTAGTTGTTTTCATGGATCCTTTTGAACGGGGATCATTTAAGGGGCCATTTTCAACTAAAAAAACACTTTCTAATGCATTTTGGCCGTTCATTTACACAACAGCTGTTTTGCGGCCTGAAAACGCAAACTTTTGGAAACTGTTTTTTGAAAACTATACACAGTCCGCTATAGTATAAACTACAAAAACATGAATCTGTGAAAATGGTGATGTAATGCATATTACTTGTTCAGCCTATAGGCGCGTTGTTTCTTTACAAAGTTACATCGCCATCTACTGGCCTGGCATGAATAATACAGCATTTCCAGTCGTTCTCGCGGATTCGTGTGAACGGGGATCGTTTTGACAACGTTGTCGTTTGCGCGCGAAAAAATGCAAAGGAAAAACTTTTCCGTTTTTAGTTCATTGTTTTCGTGTCAATGTATCCTGAATTGTAATGTTACAAAGATTTCAGTTTTTATCCAGTATTCATATAAATAGAAAATAAAGACAAGTTATTTGAAAATAGTGATTTATTAGTTTTTTTTCACTTGCTAAGCCTCATATAAATAAAGACATTTGAAGCACTGATGCAAGAGGGACACGCAAGAAAGATTCACTGTTTTATGATCTTGTGTTCTGCTGTTCACAGCAGAAATGCAAAGCAACGACATTCCTTGACACACATAACGCTTTGATATTTAAAAGTCTGCAACACGTTTAAAAATTTCATGAGGGAAAAATATAGTCATGTCTAAACAATTTATATAAGCTAAATATATTAACTCTGCACTTTGTTATTTCCTATATAGAATGGTCTCACAAACATCTTATATCGAGTTAATTTTGCATAAATATAATTCCTCTTACGTGATTGGTCGCTTTGATCATTGAGCGTCAGGTTTGACAGGCTGAAGAACAGTCACGCTTGAATATATGCAAGTTTATTGAATAATTTCGCATACGAGCATTTAGCCTCTGGGAGTGACAGTCATTCCTTTCAAAAGTGCAATTTAAGTCATTCTGGTTCACATGATTTTTCACAGTATGCTTTGGTGATCAAAAACTGCTTTTCAACAGCCCTCTTTAACAGTAGTTTGTTCTCTATTTGTCAATTCGCTCTGTTTATTTACTTTTGTAACGGATTAACTGAATAAAAAATATGTTCAGAAATAGTTTTGCCCCAAATCCTCCCAATAAACTCGTCACTACACTAGCTGAATTATTAAGATATATTTACAATTACACTTAATTACTTCTTTCAATCTTTAGCCTGGGGATATGCTATTCTTCACTATGAAAGACATATACTTTTTACTTCATTCACTTAATACATTAAAAGTCCAATTATAATTGCTAGCTGTACTTTGAGATTAAAGTCCCCCAGCGGTGAAAATCGAGCTTTTTAGTTGTTTATATGTCTGTGTGGTGTTTTTAATATGCTTTAACAAAAACCCTGTGTAAATTCAGAAGTCAACACCTTAAAACTGCAGTGAACCAAAGACGGTCTCAAAAACGTGGTTTGAAATCGCTGGCGTTTCTGACGTCACAAACTACCTTGTAACCAATCAGATCAATGTGTGATCGTCAACGAGTGGATCTCTGAGCTGGTGTGAGTGAGTGAGTGAGTGGAGGCGGGGCTCATTAGCATATTCATAGAACCACGTATATTAAATGAGGCAAGGGTGTAGAGTTACATTCAAGGAAAAAACTTGTAAATATGTAATTTTGGTGATGAGTTTTAAGTGATGCAATTATTGAAGACAGGGGGACTTTAAAGTAAATTTCCTCTCAATTTTCTTAGTAGTGATAACTATGAATCAAGAAGCTTAATGTGGTTACCTCAGCAAGACATGCTCCTGGATCACCATAAAGTTCCTGTCTGAATCTGCGTTTAGGGCGGGGGGTGTCCAAACACGGTCCTGGAGGGCCACTGTCCTGCAGAGTTTGGCTCCAACTTTAACCTCAACACACCAGCCTGGAAGTTTCCAGTATGTCTAGTAAGACTTTGATTATCTGGTCCAGGTGTGTTTGATTAGGATTTGGGCTGAACTCTGCAGGACAGTGACCCTCCAAGAGCAGGATTGGAAACTCCTGAAGAGCCACATTCCTGCAACTATTAAACACATCTGAACCAGCTAGTCAACACCATGGATATCCATAATAAAGGCTAGATGTCTTACGGCGGAGTCTCTATCGTCATCACCGGCGGCCATCTTGTCACAGGCAAGCTTTCTGGCGGGCTCTGTGGTTCCTGATGTAAGATGAGTGATCAGCACGAACACAAATACTCTTATCTCGTTGAAATCTTGACGGATTTACAAACGGTTTGGTTTCTTACAAACGTTATTAACGTGGCTATAATTCTGGATGATTATTTATTGATACACTTATTATTCATAAGTGTGCAGTGTCATAACTACATCTCTGACGTTTATAACAAACCAAACCGTTTGAAAATCGGTAGAAAATTGAGCAAGTTATGGTTTTTTAAAAAGTACATGCACCATTAAAACACAATGTTACGAGTGAGCGAGCTGCCTGTGACAAGATGGCCGCCAGGTGCGGACGTCGACCTCCATTGGCCAGCAGCGCGGATGAGAAATCTAGCCTTTATTTTGGATATCTATGGTCAACACATTCAGAATGACTTGAAAACTACAGGCAGTGTTGTCTTGGAGCAGGGTACTTACGGTATTACCAACCTCTGATTTAAAGGGCATTATTGGTTCAGATTTAAAGTGTAATTATTGGTTCGCTCTAAAAAAATGCTGGGTTGTTTCAATTTAAATTTAAAATGTAATTTTACATTTTAAACCAGCACCGATTGGGTTTGTCCATATTTGACCCAAACATGGGTTGAAACAACCCAGCATTTCTTGTCTGTCCTATGGTTGTTTGATAGGGATGCTGTTCCAGAATGTGTCCCATTTGTTTAAATTGCCTTATGAAGTCAAGATACGTATATATTCAGTTTACACCTTTTCAAACAACTATGCTATATTAGTTTTTGACATTAGTAAAACGCTTAATTGATGCAGTAGTTCATGTTGGTTTCTTTAGGAACATAAAATGTAAGAGCAATCCACTGGCACTACCACCATTCAAAAGATTTTCTGTCCGCTCATCAAGGCTACATTTATGTGATGAAAAATACAGTAAAAACTGTAAAATTGTGAAATATTAACAGCATAATCAGCATATTAGAATGATTTCTGAAGGATCATGTGACACTGAAGACTGGAGTAATGATGCTGATTCAGATTTGATCACAGGCATAAAGTACATAAAAACATTTAATAGTATTTCACAATATTTACTATTTTTCCTGTATTTTTCATTAAATAAATGCGGCCTTGTTGAGCATAAGAGACTTCTTTCAGAACCACACAAAAACCTTAATGATTCCAAACTTTGAACAGTAGTGCATATGTAACTATGAGGCATCATAAATAATATCTTCATATTAATCATCTGCATTTTTCATACATAAAGACGATTGGGTCATGCAGGTGATGGAAGAATGGCACACTCAAAAAAGTAATAATATAAAATAATCTAAAAAAAAAAAAACGACAAGTGAGTAGCCTGTGTTCTAAAAAACAAAAAGCGAAGGAAATCCTCCTAGTTTTGTTTTCTACGCACGGTCAGTCACTGAAGTGCTGTGGCTGTGATGTCAGAGGTCAAGCTGGTCCTACTGGTCGACATGAATCTGGAATATCAAAAATAGTGCTGGTGAAGGTTTTAAAAAAGCAGCGTGCTGGCGGCTGTCTGTCTGTCCGTCCTAGTCGGAATACTGATATCCGTCCATCTCTGAGTCCTGCCCGTTGTTGATGTGGTCGTCGGGGCTGGAGCAGTACTTGCTGTCGTACACCTGACGGGGCAGACCGTACACCGTCATGCCCGTCTGGGACGCCACCTTGTTGGTGCCCATCTGCAGTGAGACGGTTGAGCTGTCGCACATCTCCATGTCCAGCTTCTTATCGAAGATCTGGCGCTTGGTGCCCGGGGCCGTCATGCCGGCCTGTGGAAGAACAAAAGGAAAAGAACTGAGCCGCGTCTTGGGTCTGTGGGCAATGAATAGTAGAAAGCAAGACCCTCGTGTCACGATTCGATACATATCACGATACTGAACTCACGATACGATATTATTGCGACACTCCAAGACATATGGTAAAAGGTTAACAAAAAATGTACAGTTGATTAAAATGCTAAATTTGATATTACAATGTGGGTGTAGATGAATAGGCCTGGACTTGTTGCTGATAAACCAATGCACAGGACAATAGAGACACCAGAATAAACATATTCATGATTCTGAAGCTGAAAATACAGAATTATTTTAGACGAATATGCTTGCACTGTCACTAACTAGATATATTTAAACTAATGTAGGACACTTTTTACTGGTAACATAAGATATTTGACATTATCAGGACCAACAAATATTCCCCCATTGCATTATTATACATTATATTCAACATTATATGTAGTAGTTTAATGTAGTACTGACACTAAATCTATGTAAACTTGAATTTTTTTTCTCATACAGAAATGTCATTTTGGGTGAATTATACACAATGCATATTGTCACTATCCATGATACATATTGATGCATTTTTGTATTGCATTAAATTGCAAAATTGTGGAAAAACGTTTGAGTACCTGACTGGCTCCTTTGTTGGTGCCCATCTGCAGGCTGATTGTTGATTGGTCCAGAGGATTTTCCATACCCGTCTTAGGGTCGTAGAGGTGACGCCGTGTGCCATATGATGTCATGCCCTTTTGACTGGCAAACTTATTGGTGCCCATCTGATAATGTTAAGAAGAATAGATAGATAAAGGATGTCAGTGTTAGTAAAGCAAATTACTTGTAATCAGATTACTTTTTCAAGTAACTAGTGAAGTAACACATTACTTTTAATTAAATTTACAACAAAATATCTAAGTTACTTTTTCAAATAAGTAACGCAAGTTACTTTGTTTTCCCATGTATTGTCTGACAACTCTTTTGTCCCCATTTTGAGAGAAATCGTGAGTAAGTGAAGAGGCGTTGTGTGCGGTGTGTGTGTGAACATGAACATTGTAGTTCTAGACTAAATGTGAGCAGCAATTTACACATCTTGCACAAAAAACAGATTCAGTATTCCTCAAAATGAATAAAAACAGTGAAATGCAAACCTGCAATAATTAAGTGTTAAATACAAATACTGTATTCTTTATGCATTTAATCTCACTTTATTAACCAATGTCTTTGCTGCAGACCTTTGATGATCCAATTCAGCCATACTAATAAGCAAAAATTACTTTAGATAAACATCATATTTGCGTTTCATTTCTTTTTTTTTTTTTATAGTTAAAGTAAGAGTGTTGAACTTTCTTCTCCTGTGTCCTATTCTTCTGCGATCCAGAATGGCAGCACAGCTGAAAGGTTTGTTTGAGCGGCGCCCTCTACTGTACAGGAGTCAATTTGCATTTCCTTTTGCATTTACATTTTTGATGGTAAAAGGGCCTTTACATTTGCTAAAAATAGAACTTTTGTGTTTTTTTGTTTTGTTTTGCTATTAAAAAACAATCAAGCAAGCCTAGCCCAGGTGAGAAAAAGTAATGCAAAAGTAATGTAACATTAGTTTCTAGAAAAAGTAACTAAGTATCGCAATTTGTTACTTTTTAGGGAGTAACGCAATATTGTAATGCATTACTTTTTTAAGTATCTTTCCCCGAACACTGGTCTTACAGTATATACCATATACACTACTGTTCAAAAGTTTGGGGTCAGTAAGGTATTTGAAATGTTTTTTAAAGAAGTCTCTTTGCTCACCAAGGCTGCATTTATTTGATCAAAAATAAAATAAAAACAGTAATATTGTGAAATAATATTACAATTTTAAAAAACTGTTTTCTATGTGAATATATTGTAAAATGTAATTTATTCCTGTGATTAAAGCTGAATTTTCAGCATCATTACTCCAGTCTTCAGTGTCACATGATCCTTCAGAAATCATTCAAATATTTATATAATCAATGTACCGCGTAAAATAAGTCTTTACTGTCACTTCTGATCAATTTACTGTCTCCTTGCTGAATAAAGGATCATTTATATAAATGATTTATTTATTTATAAAAAAAACTTCCTGACCCCAAACATTTGAATGGTATTAAAAAATATATTTTTATATTGATATGATTATATATAATGTCTACCACTGAATTTAATTTGATCAAATCTTTCAAATTGATAAAAAAAAATTCAATGAATGCAAGTTTCTTTTATCATAGAGTGAAAATCGATATAATTTCCTGGTGAACGGCCACTGACCTGCAGACCGATAATGTTGCGTCCCTCCTTTAGTTTCTCCGGAGCAAATCTGCGCTGATGTTTCTCTGCGTACTTCACTCCAATGTCACATTTAGAATGGAAGCCTTTAGATTTCGCCTGTATTTCAAAATGATGATAAATAAGGTAAAGAGATTTTACTTCAAGAAATCGAAAGTGCTTGGTGTTATATAAAACTAACATGCACAAATAACTTAGTATAATTTGACCACACAAAAGAGAGATTCCTTGTTTGGTGTTTGCTTGATCGTTGGTTTGCAGAAAAAAAAAGAAAAAAACCCCCTGAACATCCATTTTTTGGAGAAAAACAACAACTTCAAACAACAACAAGTGATCTTAATCACTCTGCTAAATACTCCCATATGATTCTCCTCACTGTGAACTATGATTCTCCTTACTATAAAAAGTGAAAATAAGTCTAGTTCACTTCTGTATTAATGTGTTGACTCACCATGCCACCCAGTGTGATAAGTGTGCTCTGGACCTGAGTGTGGTTGACGTTCTCAAACAGGTCGTTGGCCTCAAATATATCATCTGGCCTCATTCCGTAATCTTGAATGGCTCGGACAAAATTGCCAATATTTTCCAGCTGCAACAAACAAGGCCAAATCAGGAAGAAAGTGACATTCTCTGTGATTTGTCCAGGATCTGAAAGTATGCACAACTGATTCCAAAGTAACAAGAAACCCTGTTTATATTTGGAACAGAAGATTATTAGATTTTATGAATGACACAAGCGTTCTACTTCGCACACAGCTTCCAATAACATGTTGTTAGTGTATACATGACATGTTCCATTAGGAAGCATTTCCCTGGACGTCATGTGCAGATCTGACCTGAACTGAAACTGCCAGATATGCTTGAGAAAGTGATATTCTTGCTCACCTGATGCCAGTTTTGAGGAGAGTTGTTGATCTTTCTTACAGAGCCAGGATGAAGGATATTGATAAGCCTGCTCATAAATAATGAACATGAATAAGAGAGAAAAAAATTACTGATTATAAATTAAAACATGTTTATGTATAAAGGAACTGCCTACTGTATATACACTCACCTAAAGGATTATTAGGAACACCATACATACTAATACTGTGTTTGACCCCCTTTCACCTTCAGAACTGCCTTAATTCTACGTGGCATTGATTCAACAAGGTGCTGAAAGCATTCTTTAGAAATGTTGGCCCATATTGATAGGATAGCATCTTGCAGTTGATGGAGATTTGTGGGATGCACATCCAGGGCACGAAGCTCCCGTTCCACCACATCCCAAAGATGCTCTATTGGGTTGAGATCTGGTGACTGTGGGGGCCATTTTAGTACAGTGAACTCATTGTCATGTTGAAGAAACCAATTTGAAATGATTCGAGCTTTGTGACATGGTGCATTATCCTGCTGGAAGTAGCCATCAGAGGATGGGTACATGGTGGCCATAAAGGGATGGACATGGTCAGAAACAATGCTCAGGTAGGCCGTGGCATTTAAACGATGCCCAATTGGGACTAAGGGGCCTAAAGTGTGCCAAGAAAACATCCCCCACACCATTACACCACCACCACCAGCCTGCACAGTGGTAACAAGCCATGATGGATCCATGTTTTCATTCTGTTTACGCCAAATTCTGACTCTACCATCTGAATGTCTCAACAGAAATCGAGACTCATCAGACCAGGCAACATTTTTCCAGTCTTCAACTGTCCAATTTTGGTGAGCTCTTGCAAATTGTAGCCTCTTTTTCCTATTTGTAGTGGAGATGAGTGGTACCCGGTGGGGTCTTCTGCTGTTGTAGCCCATCCGCCTCAAGGTTGTGTGTGTTGTGGCTTCACAAATGCTTTGCTGCATACCTCGGTTGTAACGAGTGGTTATTTCAGTCAAAGTTGCTCTTCTATCAGCTTGAATCAGTCGGCCCATTCTCCTCTGACCTCTAGCATCAACAAGGCATTTTCGCCCGCAGGACTGCCGCATACTGGATGTTTTTCCCTTTTCACACCATGCTTTGTAAACCCTAGAAATGGTTGTGCGTGAAAATCCCAGTAACTGAGCAGATTGTGAAATACTCAGACCGGCCCGTCTGGCACCAACAACCATGCCACGCTCAAAAATGCTTAAATCACCTTTCTTTCCCATTCTTACATTCAGTTTGGAGTTCAGGAGATTGTCTTGACCAGGGCCACACCCCTAAATGCATTGAAGCAACTGCCATGTGATTGGTTGATTAGATAATTGCATTAATGAGAAATTGAACAGGTGTTCCTAATAATCCTTTAGGTGAGTGTATATATATATATATATATATATATATATATATAAAAGGAACAAAATGAGCCTATATAGACAGACAGACAGATAGATAGATATTTACATGTATTTTGTTATATTTATCTGTGACAGATACATACTGTTTATGAAACATTTTTAATCAATATTTATATATAAAGAAACTTGACTTCACATGGATGAGTGGAAGCGACAAAAAATTCTGTATTATGAATTTTTAAAGACAGACAAGTAATTTGTTAAGGTCAATTTGTAAAGAAAGACTACACGCCTGCACACATATATATCCAAACGCACACAGCCTACCTATAGACTGAACACGTAATATGCATGTGCACGCCGTCAGCGCTTCCACAGATTCACGTTTTTGACGTTTGCTCGGAGATGATAACGTTTTTCTAAAATTTTCAACACTTGCACCTTGGAACCTATTCAAGGTTTGGGTTCTCGAGCCGCCAGGCACTGTTGCTGTGCGAGTGAGCGGGCCGGAGCGCATTAAGGGTTTTCTGTTACAACAAGCGGCCCCTAAGTTAATAACTAATGATCTTTGATCTTAAGATCTTGAGATAGTTTGAGGAATCACTCACTCGCAGAGGACAACTCCATCTTTCAGTCCCTCCATGAAGTTCTCTGGGAGCTTGCGGCCTGTGACCTCACTGATCCACATTCTTAGCTCCTCCTCCTTTTGGGGGTCGTACTTGTGGGCCAGCTGAGGGTCAAAGGTCAAAGCATCACTACACACATCTAGTTTACAGTATTTACATACTCTACAGCAATTCTTTAACAATTAATACACATGCAGATTTGAATTCATTTGTCACACTGCATGGCTAGTTTAAATCAAACAGTCAAAAAAAATTTAAATATAAAATAAACACTTGAATATTACACTTCTTTTTTTTTTACGTATACACTACCGTTTGGGGTCTTTAAAGCTGCAGTCCGTAGCTTTTTTAAGTTAAAAATAATCCAAAAAAATTATATTAAAAAAAACTTATTCTGCCAGTGGTCAAAACTATCTGCTTGCCATAGCTAGATTCAAAACGGTTAGCTTGAAATAATGATTTTAATTCCAGTGGTACTGGTGGGTTTCCGCGGGAAATTCGAGCATGTCTTTGTGTGATGACGTCACACCCGTACACATAAAGAAGGAGTTTCGGCTAGCCGGCTATACTGCGCATGACGAGATGTTTAGATGTATAGGCTTTTCTCGCAGCACTTTACATAATTAAACTTATGGCATCCAGAAAGATCCAAACAACAATCATCAGTGTCAACTGGAGATTCAGCAGTTATAAAACCCAAAAGACTTCGTACTTCGGATTTAAGGTGGCTAGAGAAAGAGAAAGAAACCGTCTCATGCGAACACAAGGATTTAAAGTCCCACTCCGATCATATTTTGAGCTATTTGTAAACATTCCCAGTGGTCTTTAAATTATGATTATGCCATTTTTAGCCAAACTCACAAAACCTGTGCCGTTTTCTGGGACTTTGCTTCAGCAGAGCGGCAGTAGCTCATTAGCAATTCGCCTCTGCGTTGTGGGCGGAGCCGTTGGCACGGAGATGACCCTCCCCCTCCCCGTTGCTGAGAGCTCTGTCTCTCCCGCTAGCTTACACCCCCAACCTGTCATTACCGGTGCAACAAAAATTGAGAGCAATATTGGAGCTATCCAGCCGTACAGTGCGTTTTCGTTTTAAAACGCATAACTTTTGCAACGATTATGCGCTCCTGCCGTCCACATTACTGACCCTCGGCCTCGAAAACGGAGACTGACCCCTTCAGTCGAGTCCGATGCAAGACACGCAAGTGACGCAACCCATAGCAACGAGTCATGGCAACGACAGCTCAAACCGACAGAAACATACAAGTAAACGTGAATTTTGTCACATTGTCATGTTAATTATAATCAAATGGATTTTGTTTTATTGAAAACAATATTATCATTGATATTTGTTTGAGAGGGGCACTTTCGATTAATTTTAACAAGCTTGTGGCCCCGCCCAGTGGAGTTACTACGTCACAACTCCAGTCTATTTTAAACGGCATTTTAGCGTCCGCTACTGATTCACAGCCATTTGAATGTAGAAATACTCAGAAATACAACTTTGAGCTTATTTTTCTCAAGATATGTCCTCTAACATAAGAAAAATGCCACAAGAACATGTTAACACCTAGAAAAACATTATTTTCATCGGAGTGGGTCTTTAAACATCGGCGGGGCTTTTGAAAAGTGCGTGAACTCCGTGTTTTGAAGGGGTTCAAAACGGAAGAAGAGACGGCTTTTTTTTTTCTGCTGAACAAGTAAGACATTTCAATAGTTCAATCGTGTAACAGTACGTTTTCTTAATTCACACAGTTATGGAGTTTCCTTTGTTGTGCCTTTCTCGTTTTGCTATTATGGAGAATATGAATTCTGAACTACGCAGGTAGCTGCTAACCATAAAACACATTAAATTTAACATTAGTCACGCAATGCTGATGTGATGTTGTTAACATGAACAATTTGAGAACAAAGTAGGCTATAATTTGCACGGTTGCTGTAAATCGCGTTGATTAAATCTAACGAAGCTTATCATGTCGAATGCTTTTTCCCCCTTAGTTGGTCAGAACAAAAATGGATGTTACTTACTTGTTCAGAAGACATTTTCTTATGAAAATTCTTATGTTGGTCAAACTTTCAAAAAGTGAATCTGTGATTCTGTATGACAGTATCCACACAGCGCGGTGACTGACAGCAGCACTCGCCTCAAAGCACTGTGTTCATCCGCGCTGTTTCATGCCGATTTACAAATCGAATCACTGCAGTTACAGATTTCGAACAGAGAGATTTCGAACAAAGAGGAAAAGCTACGGACTGCAGCTTTAAGATTTTTTTAATGGTTTTGAAAAAAGTCTCTTCTGCCCACCAAAGCAGCATTTATTTGATTAAAACAGTAAAAAAAGTATTATTGTGAAATATTACCGGTACTAACGAGAATAACTGTTTTCTATATGAATATATTGTAAAATATAATTTATCCCTGTGATCAAACCTGAATTTTCAGCATCATTACTCCAGTCTTCAGAGTCACATGATCCTTCAGAAATCATTCTAATATGATGATTTGATGCTCAAAAAACATTTATTTGTATCATCAATGTTAAAAACAGCTTAATATTGCTTAATATTTTTGTGGAAACTGTGATACATTTTTCAGAATTCAGTAAAAGCCGTTACTGTCGTAACACTTAATGACCCCAAACATTTGAACAGTATAGTGTACAGTATACATTTCAAATGTTTATTAAAAAAGATGCTTCCAAAAAAACTCAATACGTATATAATATTCCACTTTATCTCAATTTATCAGAAAGATGGAAGTCTTTAAATAAAACATTTTGTCTGAGGCTCAGCGAGTTGTAAAGGAAAACAAAAGATTGGGAATGCTGGGGAAAACTCGGATCGTCTCCTTCGTTGTATCGCAGAGGTGGGAAAATATTTACTCTATAGATCTTAGTCTTTCTTCTGAAGAAGTTCTAATAAAGGAAGAACAAGAAAGAAAAGAGGAAGAGAGACAGAGCGAGAGAGATCTGAGAGAGCTGTTTCTCCAAAGTTTGGTGTGCTGGTGTGGAAACCAAACAAACGCTGTAACTTTAAATCAGTGTTATTGTTGGCCATCTCTCTCTGTCACAGCTGCGAGTCGGTGTCTCCGTTCGGCTTGTTTCTTCATCATACAGCTTCTTCCCGCTCCCACCTGCATGTGTCGTGTGAAGGGACATACTTAACACATGCTAAATGTGTCCGATAAAAGGAAGCCAAGGCCGACACTCATAACCATCCAAGGAATTCTGCTGAGGACTTGATTTATTGTTTTTCTCTCATTCTGGACATCTGGAACAGAGTAGACCTCAGTCTAACTCTAGAGGCCAGGCCAAGATTGGAGGTTTTTTTTTTTTTTTTTTGCAGCAGCAGGAATTCTGTCACAGACGGCCAGGATAACATTCCTTCATACCCTTGGTTACACGGAAATACCTGCATGTTGTACATTGACATTTATTTTTAGCAGTTACATTGTATAAGATTCCTAACTTTGAGTACACTCGAAAATAAAGTTCACTGTAAAAAAAAAAAATGATTGTGAATTTAACGGTAAAAGACTGTAAAAATCCTACGGTGAAAAACTGTTAATTGGTTACCAGAAAGTTTCCGTACTATATAACTGTGATAGATCTAACAGTAAAATACCATTAAATTGACAGTTTTTGGACGTGAAAAAGAACAAATCATTGAATAATTTACAGTGAAAAAAACGTAAACTCCCACAATTCCCTGCGTGACACTTCTCATTTGATGTATTTTTGTTGAAATAACTATGTTTCTTCAGAGTTTTTTTCTGATCAGTTATGTAAATTAGGGTTTTATGTTACATTTAATGTTGTTAAATGAATGTTTATTGCATTTTTAAAATTTCACGTGTGTTACCATGATGGTGTTTAGTGTTATAGCTTTTCTATATAAGTAATAACTATCTAAGTTTGTGGAAAAGCTGCTTGTGATGAGCTTTGATGACTCTCATTTCCACTGTACTTGTACTTGGTGGTTGTCAGTGTATTACAATGGTACAAAACAAATATTAGTATTTCGAAATGTCGTAAATTAACATTATATCAAATAAGAAATATGTTTATTTTACTGTAAATTTAAGTTAACTCTATAAAACCTAACATGTTACTACTGTTTTTATTAATAGTAAATATCTGGCAGCCACAGCTGACGTTTTTTTACCGTAAATTTAACCTTTAACATTACATAAATTACTGGCCTTTTGGAATTCCTTTTAGAATCTATAAAGGTTATTTATATATATATATATAATGTAATTTTTTAACATAAAGAGCAGGCCTGTCTGAAAAGACTAATGGTTCGTTGAGGCTCACGGAGATGATCTTTCAACAATGCTCCTCCTTATTCTAAACTGTTTACAACATGCTCCTCTCCTCAGATATTGTGAGTGAACACAACTCTTCCTTATATGGGGACGGAAAGCCACATACCAATAGTGCTGAGGAAGACACATCTGACATAATCCCAATGACATGCAAAGTCCATAGTTTGACACCTGAAACTGTGCAGCATGACTTCTGTTACGGCAGAGAATGTGGTGCTGTTATGACTTCTGTTCTCAGGAAGTGTCATGAAAGCCAGAAAACATTTATGTTTCAGGTTTTTCTGGAGCGCCGAGACTGATGGGAAAAATTGTGGCAGAAGTTTGACAGGGGAATCAATTAAATGTCCCTTCTGATGCCAAACACTCATAAAAGTTCCCAAATGGGGTTTTCATAGCGATCCAATAGAGGAACCATTTTGGATTCACAAAAGAACCTTTCATCGCACAGTTGTTAAAAGAACCATTTTTTTTGTGTGAAGAACATTTGAATAATCTAAAGAACATTGAAAAGGTTCCACTGATTAAAGGTTCTTCGTGGAACCATCGATGTCAATAAAGAACCTTTATTTTGAAGAGTGAACAAAGACACTTACAGGACAGAACGATATGATCAAGGCCAAAAACTAGGACTGAGGAATGATATCGCGAGCTCATCAAATAATCTATGATGGAAATCACATATGGTTTTTGTCATTTTATAGATGCAACTTTTAGAACATGTGCAAATATGACAGAAATCAGACCCAACTAAACCACAGTTTGCATCTGAACACATGACATTTAATATTGAGAGCTAGATGTCAACAAGGATATCATATTCTCATGCTTTCATAAAGTTCTGCTAAAGTTTAGCTAGGTAGAAGTTATATGGTTATCCATTTATAACTACGTCACTACATTTCACACTTTTTATTGCACATGGCAAGATGTAGGCCTATATTATATAGTTTGAAAATATTATAAAGTATTTGAGGACCATTGAGCTAATTGTAGGCTACAATATCGGAGTCTAGCACAGTAAATACATTTAAGGCATTTAAAACAAAACAATGTTGCTTTAACTCACCAAAATAAGTTAAGCAATTTTCAACTGTTTTTTTTTTTTTGTCATACAAGATTCAACTAATTTTTTAAGTCAGTTTAATGTAATTTAAGTTGAAATTGCTTAAATTTTTAAGTACAATCAACTTGGATGTTTAAGGCAGCAACTTTTTTGACAATGTAGCCTACTTGTTTATAAATAATGTATACTGTTAAAAAAAAAAAACCTCCTTAACCTTTTGTTTTGACTTTAGGGCAATTTTAAGTTGGATTAGATCTCCATAACCCTCCCATAAAACACATTGAAAGATCAAAACACCTTAAATTCCTCCTATACAGAATAAACGACACCGTAAACTGTCTGACTCGAGCAGCGCACGTGCTCCAGCGCATCCCTGACAGCTGTCAATCAAAGCAGATCTTACCTTACTCTTGACCTCCGCAGACAGTCCGAAAGCAGGTCCGCTCTTGAAGTGAGTCGACATTGTGTTTGTCAGCAGATTCGGCGAGAGGATGGCGATATAGCTAATGTTAGACCTGTGATCTCCAGTCCAACTGTCCGGTCATGTGTGAAGGTTTGGGCCACATCTTCTTTTCCACAATCTTTTTTAAACTCTTCTCATCTGTGCGTGCGCTGAGCGAGCGCTGATTGGCCGGGGCCGACGTTCAACTGTGACGTCACGCCGCTCTGCAAAAATGATGTCACCCGCATGGCATTAAACGCGTCCGATGTCACTTTTTCCACTTTGAAGTGAATCAGGGATGCTCCTGATTTGTGTAGTTCAGCGCTTCTCAGCTGGTTTTGCTTTGGATTTTACTTGGGACATCAAGTGTTGCCCCAACACAGTTAGGCTACCAAATATGTCTATCGGACAAAAGAAACAAAAATGCCCTTAAAATCATACAATAAACAATATTACAACATTCATATGAATTCATATTTTCATTCCTGTCAGTCACCTCAACAGAATGTCCTAATATTTCAAGTGATGTATTGTCTCTGATAACATTCTGTGATGGAAATTACAATTTAGTTAACATTTTGGAATAAAATAGAAGGCATCTTATTTTGACTAGTATTTTATGTGTCCTAAATACATATAATTAATATATACACACACATATACATATACATATATATATATATATATATGGACAGTAGTCAAAGCCTTTAATCAAAGTTATACATGAATTTTGAACAATACCCAACTGTATATATATATATATTTATATATTAACTAAGCACAAATATATATTGAATATATACAGAATATAATACATTTCTAAATATGTTATATGCTTATAATACGTTTTATTTCTAATAAAATGACTCCATGGCATATATACTGTATTTTTTATAATGATTTTTGTTATCATGACTAAAAGTAATTGTGTCATTTTCATTATGAGGGACTAATATGTTTTTAATCAGTAGTCGGGCAAACTTAACATGGATCATCCTGTAGTTTCTGACATGAACATCTTAATTGGCCATATTTCCTAACGCTTGGTCATTTTGCAGGAGTTAGTAAGCCTGGAGTCAGATAAGCCATGGATTACAGTGATAGATCAAGAGCACTGTATTCCACCTTTGTAAATGTTAACACAATAATTCAGACCCAGTGGTTTCAGATTAGATGGTTATAGTACAAATACATGAGCACTTTCATCTTAAGAAACACTCTAAGGTTGTGCTTGAATTTGTTTGACTGAGCACTTAAGAGTATCTGATCAGATTTTGCCTCTGAATGACATATACTCTTTTCACGGATGCACTAGTTTAAAATAATGAGATTTGATTTCAAAACTGAAAATACCACAGAACATACCTGTAAATGGCAAAATTACATTAAAACAGGTTCCCATAAAGTGTAAAAACATCATTCATGACATCATGATGACCGTTTCATTCTCGGACCTCATATTGCCATAATTACATCATAGTTCTGCTGAACATTGTGCTTTGCTGTGGATGATCAGGATGTTTTAGCAGCTTATTCTCTCTGACTGGACGACACACTCCTGGCCCCACATTCCTATGGTTTGTCATCTGTATCAGAATAACGTAGTGCAGTGAAAAAGGAAAATCAGCTCATCGTCTGCGTCATCAGTGCACAGAGACACTAAGGAAATCATTGCATTCACACCAATGTACATAAATAAAAATGAACATTTATTTCTAATAGACCAGATTAATATCGGATTATAATGTTGTCAACAGCAAGAGAACACTTCAATGGAATCGAAACAAAAAAAGAAAATACAAATAAACCTTTTTAATATTTATTGTGTGTGTATATATGTATATAGGCCTATATATATATATATATATATATATTTTAATGATACATTTTATTATTAATATATATATACACTCACCTAAAGGATTATTAGGAACACCTGTTCAATTTCTCATTAATGCAATTATCTAATCAACCAATCACATGGCAGTGGCTTCAATGCATTTAGGGGTGTGGTCCTGGGCAAGACAATCTCCTGAACTCCAAACTGAATGTCAGAATGGGAAAGAAAGGTGATTTAAGCAATTTTGAGCGTGGCATGGTTGTTGGTGCCAGACGGGCCGGTCTGAGTATTTCACAATCTGCTCAGTTACTGGGATTTTCACGCACAACCATTTCTAGGGTTTACAAAGAATGGTGTGAAAAGGGAAAAACATCCAGTATGCGGCAGTCCTGTGGGCGAAAATGCCTTGTTGATGCTAGAGGTCAGAGGAGAATGGGCCGACTGATTCAAGCTGATAGAAGAGCAACTTTGACTGAAATAACCACTCGTTACAACCGAGGTATGCAGCAAAGCATTTGTGAAGCCACAACACGCAAAACCTTGAGGCGGATGGGCTACAACAGCAGAAGACCCCACCGGGTACCACTCATCTCCACTACAAATAGGAAAAAGAGGCTACAATTTGCAAGAGCTCACCAAAATTGGACAGTTGAAGACTGGAAAAATGTTGCCTGGTCTGATGAGTCTCGATTTCTGTTGAGACATTCAGATGGTAGAGTCAGAATTTGGCGTAAACAGAATGAGAACATGGATCCATCATGCCTTGTTACCACTGTGCAGGCTGGTGGTGGTGGTGTAATGGTGTGGGGGATGTTTTCTTGGCACACTTTAGGCCCAATTGGGCATCGTTTAAATGCCACGGCCTACCTGAGCATTGTTTCTGACCATGTCCATCCCTTTATGGCCACCATGTACCCATCCTCTGATGGCTACTTCCAGCAGGATAATGCACCATGTCACAAAGCTCGAATCATTTCAAATTGGTTTCTTGAACATGACAATGAGTTCACTGTACTAAAATGGCCCCCACAGTCACCAGATCTCAACCCAATAGAGCATCTTTGGGATGTGGTGGAACGGGAGCTTCGTGCCCTGGATGTGCATCCCACAAATCTCCATCAACTGCAAGATGCTATCCTATCAATATGGGCCAACATTTCTAAAGAATGCTTTCAGCACCTTGTTGAATCAATGCCACGTAGAATTAAGGCAGTTCTGAAGGCAGTATTAGTATGGTGTTCCTAATAATCCTTTAGGTGAGTGTATATATATATAACGTGTCGTCAGCGCTGCTCTGAAAATAATTTAACAATTTAAAAGGGACTACGGATGGAAATTAGCATTGTGCTAAATCCGGTGTATTTACGTCAACTTATCATGCACTGTCCCATCCAAATAAAAATAAAATGAAACGAATGAAAAGCTGCATGCCATTTCTCACCAGCGAGGTACAGTAATAACGGCACTGTTCTTGGAGCAGATAAACTTACAGTCTCGCTGGTAGAGACGCTGTTGCTGAACACTGTTCAGAGACGCACAGGTAATGCACACTGCTATCACTATCAGTGGCTCGAGCTTTCGTTACGAGCTCTGAAATTACATTTTGGAATTAGCAAATTGGGATTAGATCGGTAAGAAATTAGTCCTAAAAACAAGACCATTTTAAGGACAAAACATTACAAATGTCTTGAAATACATCATCTGAACAATGTTTCTAACGTATATATAAGCGGAATAACTGACTCCAGGCCGTTGAATTATTAAAAAATAATGCACACTCGAGGTGTAACGGCATTGCCAGCTTGGGTGTGCATTATTGTTCTAATAATTCAACAGCCCAGAGTCAATTATTCCTTCCTTAAAACATCCTTTCTTTTTATAAAAGTGAAAGTCTAACCTCCAAAAATGAAATTTTCTCCACTAAACGACGCTTTAACATTAGGACAGTGGAGTGTGGTTGGATGATATAATGTGTCTCCCTGAAAATCACCAGGGTAAAACCACTGACATCATGTAAGCCCTCTAAAAGCGGGTCTGTGATGCTCTCATACAGTAGCCGGGTCCCAGCGAGAGTCATTCGGAGCGAAGCCTGATCCAGCGCTCTTGTAAACATTCTAGAGGTTGAAAAAGAGCAGGGGAGGAATTTGGACGCTTTATTTGGTCATGACTGAGGCAGACTATCACCCTGCTATTAGGGGTCGAGACGAAGAGGTGTTTCACACTGCGCAGCTCATGAGAGGACTTCACTTTCACTTGAAGTTCAGCAAGTACACCATAAATGTGTCCAAATGACTTCTTCATTCTTTTGTAACGCTGGCATCATTTATCTAGCTGTATCCATTCTTAGATGCTCTGGAGATCTGTTCTGTGTTAAAGTGTTTTTTTTTTCACCGTGCATCCCTATAACTTACCCAGCGAGGATGTCAGTGTGACGTGCGAGTCGGTCACTGGTCTGTCAAACAGCTTTTAGCAAAGATAAGCAAATAAAACACACAAAGCAAGACAAGTTTCAAACTGGAAAAGGAAAGTGGGTTGCTGGGTGGTTTCTAGAAATATGTTCAATAATGGACTGTGTATTTAGTGAATCTCTGGTTGGAGATTTTGAAAGAACTCTTAAGTTTGGACGATAACATCATTTTGGCTTTGTCATGGCTAGAAGGAAAAAGCCAAAGGAAAAGCGGACAATACTGATTATAAAGAGACAAACAGCTGCAGTTTTATGTGTATGAGAGTTTGGCACTGATCTGCATCAGACTCAGTAATGGGTTGTATATGTGTGTATATGGACACAAATGAGCCAGAGGAAAAATCAAGAAGGATGGAGAAATGGTGAGAAAAACAGAAATGTTACAGCATCTGAAAGCGCCAGTTCCAGAGATTTCCCTGCTTCCTTCTCTCCTTTCTAGGATAGGTCTGTCTGCCTATTTATGGTCGATGGCTCATTCAAGCTACAAAGCTTTAGAGGAATTTAGGAGGCTGTTCTGGAGATCTAACAGCCACGGGGAAGCTTTTCTGCACACAGTAGTTACCCGTACCCTCAACACACCAACCAAATGTACTGGAGACTATTGTAAACAAGCATAACCCCGTCATAAATCTGCTTGACGTTCTTACAACTCTGATTAGAACGGACAATACGACCCTCAAGCAACTTTAATGCCTCGTAAATGTAACTATATAAAGATCATAGAGTCTGGAATGCAAATCTACGTCTGGGAACCACTTCAGGATGAATGTCTGAGTGCAGTTCAGTTTCCTTTAACTCCTGGATGTGTGTATGATCACTATTTTAAAGATCTGTGCTATGCATTGGATTTAATGTCAGAGCTGTGATTTACAGTTTTCTTGGCGTATGTTTTAAATGTATACATGCCCATGAAAACAAGTCATGAAAACCATCTCTGGCAGGTAATAGCAAAGTGTAGAGTATACTTGAGCTTGGTGTGAGGCATTTAAAATGTCACAGACAGTAGTGCTGGAGATGTACGATATGTAGTGTGTGTGTGTGTGAAGGTACCAGGGGAGATTTCACTGAGCCTCAGATGCACTGTGTGACCATGTTTGGTAAAAGCTACACACACACACAGTTTCTCTGAGCTAACCCATTGACCATGAGTACATGCAGTAGAGCTGGATTCAATCAGAGCCAGACTACAGACTCAAAGATCTCTCATTCTCCCGCTTTAGTATTCTCTGTCATCCTCGTTGGCTTTCTTTACCTCTGCTTTATTCTGTCCTCAAGTATTACATAAGCTCTGAGCTGAGGAAGAACCTGATGTCATTCATCAACAGGTAGAGCTGAAGAGATGACAGACAGACACAGATAGATAGAACGACAGATAGATATACATCTTCACTTTGTTCTACTTCTTAAACACGAGGATGTCCATTTGCCACTGAATCTGGCTGAATCTTCAATTAGCATCAAGAATTAGCAAACAACCGTCATCTGCCAACGGTCTTGCCAACAGAAAAGTGCTCTGAATGTGCAAACAGACAGCTAAATAATCAAAACAGTCACTTCATATGTCAAATATCTACTTAAACAAACATTCAGCAGATTAATGAACACATCAAAACATGTTATAATAATAAAAATGTTGCAACAAGAGAGTAAAGGGAGAAAAATGTGTAAAGCGCAAGCATGAGGATGAATAATTTGGCCCACAACTAAATCTAAAATATTTCATTCACAAAATCATTCTACTATTAAAGTAAATGTGTACAGAGACTTAAATGAAAAAAGTTAAAGTTTATCCATCCTTCACAAAGAACTATATACCTGAAATAGTACATTTATGCTCATCAAGGCTGCATTTATTTGATCAAAAACACAGTAAAACAGCAATAATGTGAAATATTATTACAATTTAAAAGAACTGTTTTCTATGTGAATATATTTTATATATTTATATATGCGAGTAAAATTAAATTGAATTAAATTTTGAATTAAAACAGTTGTGCTGCTTAAAATGTTTGTGGAAACTGATGAATTCTTTGACGAATAGAATTATGAACCAGCATTTATTTTGAAATAGAAATCTTTTGCAACATTTAAAATGTCTTTACTGTCACTTTTAGTCCTTGCTGAATAAAAGCTTAAAAAAACAGCTTAATGACCTCAAACTTTTCAACAGTAGTGTATGTAGTCAACAAATAGAAATGCAAAACAACGACAACTCAGGACTCAAATTTATTAATGAACAAATCTGTCACTTCTGAAGTTTTGACTGCTACTTGGACAATATTATTAGTGGTCATAAATGTCATCCATCAGTTTCAAAGTGTGCTGACGCCGGGGCTCTGAGGCCTCGGTTCGGTGTCCATCTTCACATTCAAATTTCCAGAGACGATTAGATCCACAGCACAGTAATGTGTTAAAAGAAAAAAAAAAGAAGATAAAAATCAATCAAATCTTCTACATTTATCCAACAGTTCTGTGCTCATTTTAGTATTCTTATAAGCAACTTATACTTCAAGACTGAAGGTAAATACAAATACATTGATTTTTCAATACTGGCATTGGACTAGTCACCAAATTGCACATAGTTAATGATTCCATTGAATATACCAGGTTGTCTGTACAAAAGGCCGACAGCATTAGAGGGAAAAAGCCCCGTCCGAACATCTGGACAGGTAGAAAAGTCTGTCTAGATTATTGCTCCTTATAGAGCGCAACAATCGGGTTCCGGAAGTAAAACCTCAATTCATTTTTTCGTTTTTTTTTTTACGAGAACTTGTAAACCTTTAAAAACCTTGTTAATCAACGCATTCTCATCCTTTGGCGTCATATAGGTGACGCCATATGACATTTCGTCAAAATCTTACGAACATGGCATCCTTTAGCGTCAATATAACACGCACTGTTATGGGTAGGTTTAGGTCTGGGGTAGGGTACGGTTATGACGCCTTGGGATCTGCGTCTCATATTCACGCTAAACGATGCCATGTGCGTCGGATTTAGACGAGGGTCACCTGTATGACGCCTTGGGTTCTGCGTCTCATATTGATGCTAAAGGATGCCATGTGCGTAAGATTTTGACGAAATGTCCAAAGCGTCACATGTATGACGCCAAAGGATGAGAACGGGCTGTGTTAATCCATGGTATTTGCTTCTCTGAAACAGTCAACCCGCATCCTTTCAGCTTTGTTTTAAAATAATTGTTTAACAGTGGAATTTTAGGTGGAAAGACTACATTACCCATGATGCCGTGCAGAAAATTCCACCAATCAGAGTCGAAACAAGCAAAACGCACCACAAGATCTCGAATGCGAATGACAGACAATCTCTCTACTCTCTGAAATGTTTGTATATGCTTTGCAATAAACTTAAAATGTATACACATATAATCAACATTTGTAAATGAGTAGTTTTAAATTTCTCTCGTTTGTAATTTGATTATGCTGTTCATGATTAATGGGATTGTAGCTCTTTCCAAAAGACTTTTCAGTCTTTTCAAAAACTTGGTTGGTTTGGCTGATGGCTTATAACTCTTTAACAAAGACTATTTTAAAATCCCTATGGGAAAAATGAATTAAAAAAAATACTTCCGGAACCGGCGCCGTTGCACTCTATTGATAATTGAAAACAAATACGGGTCTCCTTCCTCCAATTTATAAAGTCTAACTGAATCCACAATTTGCCTGCCTATATGATTTATTTGATGGCGACTGCTTGTTTTTAAAATCATGTGAGCTTGAAACAATGACAAATAATTTGGGGCTCCATGTGATCATGAAAAACAGTTGTTGTCCCGGTTAGGATACCGGCAATCTGCTCCACATGAGGATCGGACCAAAGGAAAGCAGGCAAGTGCAGCATGGATTATAAAAGAGGTCTTTGTAAACAATAATGGGACGTTTGATATGAGGGATCCCGTCTACTAAGGTTATCCTAGATTTTTCACATTCTGCCACCCTTTGAATTAGCACAGCGTCCACTATGACGCAAGAGTTTAAGCTAAAGCGAGGCTAGGCGCAGTACTAATATTAGGGTTGTGCTAACTCTACGACTGCTTCATGCTAGCACAGTCCCATCTATGCTCATTTCGTAGCTTGGATAGCAACAGGCACGTTTTTGTGGCTGTTCTAAAGAAAACAATCAATAACTGTAGAGAAAAGTCAGTTTTAATGAATACTTATTATTTAGAGTATTGTCAATTCAATTTGTACTTGAACTTTTTATTGATTTCGATCAGCCCTTCAAAAATGCAATAGCATAGTGAGGACGGCCAGCCACTGAAGAACATTACAATTTTAGCGCGACAAAGGCATCCGATTGTGCAACGTTTGTGTGGGATGTCGTACCACAAAGCCTAACCTTGTTTCGCGTTTTCATAAACACGAAGATTACAGCTCATTTCAGACATTATACATAACTATGATTACAGGACCAAGGCTCATTTCCTTCTCCAAAAACATCACCAGAGTATATTTCTATTGTCACAGCTTCACATATTCAAGGCCTGGAGGATGATTTGGTTATTTCAAATTATGGATCTAAGGCAAAAAACAAAAAACAAAAAAAAAACTACATTTCCCACAATCCTCTCCCATTCTCTGCCAGAATTACCCAATTTAAGAAGTCAAAATGACATTCATTTTGGAGGTGTACCTGAATTTCAGAAGAGAAACACTAGCTCTGAATACACACGATTTTCCCGTCACTAGGCAGAAATAAGTACGCATATGTTTTATGCAAATATATATATATATATCGTAACACCACATCACAATGCGACATGGGTTCACATGCCCAGATAAATATAAGCTGGAAATCACATTCAAGAGAATCCGCATTCATGCATCATGACAAAAGCCAAAAGTTCTAGTGACCAACAAGCTGAAAAAACCTTTGAATCTGGCAGAAACAGGACTAAGATGAAAATCTGCACCTGTTCAAGTCGTTGAAATGATCTATTTGGCGAGAACAGAAACGATCTAAAACCTGTGCACGTGTAGTTTAGAGAGACCGTAATGCAACTTCAGCATGTTGGAGAAACACATGCAAATAGAGAAAATGAAGGGCTTTAGAAAAGTCAACAACCTGAGAAATGAATAAACCGCCTTGAAATCGAATGCAGACATGACGTCAAAGCTGACCGACACGGCATGCACACAAACTAACGAAACTCTCAAAAGCTTTACAAACCACCTTTCCACTCCATTCCCACCTGGAAGACAACTTCTGTAAATGCAAAAGAGCGACTGCGGTGCAACATAAGAGGAGTTCTGCAGGTACGGGCTATAACAGTAAAGGCCGTGAGCGCCAAAAGTCCATACGGAGTTGTTTCTGGGACGGGCAGGTGCTGCACTTGTGCTTGACACGGTGAGAGAGGTAGATCTGTGGTTTCACGGAAGCCTTGCGACAAGTCAGACTGGCAATGTAGTGTTGACGTAAGACTGAATGAATTCGCCAACAAACGAGCAATTGTGGAGCAAGTTCAAGCCTGGAGACCACTGAGGCACATCAGTGTTAAATATCACAGGAAATATGGCTCTTAAGCCAACCACGATTGGTTTCGAGAAAAAACACGGATGGGTACTGACTGGATAAGGCTTTGCGAGGGAGATGCGATGGACTTTCCGTGGTCACAAGCTCATGTTCTATTGCTTCTCTTTGTGCTTTGAGGCACTTTGGTTGTGTTTGAGGCATTTATCTGCTTGATGTTCACCGGTGTAGGTGAATTCAGATTGTTTGTAAATGACATAGAGGTTAAAACCACACTGGGATGGATCCTCTCAACCTCTTTTTGAGAGCACATCCATCCAGAGCACAAAGGAAACGACTCGGGAGTCGCTATATTCTGGGAAGAGAATACGTCTAATCTACATGTCTTTATTGCGGATGATTCTCAGTCTGTGTGGTTGTTCACGAAATTGGTCTTTTTGGCGTCCGCTTTGCCCCCTCTTAGCTTGCCGGTAATGACCTTGTAGCAGCCGCGGGCGATTTTGTACATCCATATTGTGTTCAGGATATCCAAACAAATGCAGGATAAGATCCAAGCCACCTGAGCACTGAGACCAAGCCTTTCAAACGCTGGCGTACCGAACGTGCCAAACACCTTCGCCCAGTAGGGCGGCATCACGGCAATCCGCACCAGGAAGAACACGACCGCCATGGCGATGCCGTTGATGACAACCAGCTGGTCGGTACGAGGGTAGGCCAACGCTTCGAAAAACCACCTGCGGAGGGACATATAGAGGTCAACCGAGAAGTTTATGGTCATGAATAAATCTCTCCCAATGAGTAAACAAATCTCACCTTTGATTCACAAATGGCGTTGACAATTCTGAAATCAGTCGGAAGTTAGCAAAATAAGGAAGCACTCCACGGTTCTGCAGATCAAACAGACAATTATTTAAATAACTCTCCAATGAGTAACAAGTTTTCATTTTCTGAATTATTATTTTTTTTAAACATTTATTATTATTATTATTATGATTACTAGTAGTATTACAATTGTATTATTAGTGCTGTCAAATCGATTAATCGCGAATTATATTTAATAAATTGTAAATATATAATGTGTGTGTATATACAGATAGATATATATATATATATATATATATATATATATACACACACGCAAACTTTTGTTAGATTGAATATATATATATATATATATATATATATATATATAAATAAACACACGCAAACTTATGTTAGATTATTTATATATATATATATATACATATATATTCAAACACACGCGAACTTTTGTTAGATTTCATATATATATATATATATATATATATATATATATATACACACACGCAAACTTTTGTTAGATTGAATACATACATATATGTATATATATATATATATATATATAAAGCGTGTAACGCAGTCACTCCTACTAGCCACTTTGGCGGGTTGCATTTTATTTTTAATATATACATTTTTCAATTGTAATCTTTTAAAAATGCATTTTAAATACTAAACTAAGTACAATGTAGTGTTGTCAGAAATATCGTTTTTTTTCTATACATATCGATATCTTTCATTTGCTCTGGATGAATATCGTTGCTGGTAAAGGGCTTGAATTTCAGCATGGGATTTCACATATTGAGCATAATTTACTCACTCTCACATTATGTGCTCACACCCAAAGTGCGGCACATAAAGCCTCCTCTCAGTACTAAATTAAGTTATTTTTCCCTGCTTATTGCGTTTAAACAGTCAAATACACACAAAACAATGTCAAAATGTTGGTCTTGGCGAGTATTCACGTAAACACAGTCAGTTTTATTTTAAGTGAACGTAAACAGTTGAGAAAGAAAATGCATGCGTATCAGTATAACGGATCTGTGCAGCAGTTCTTAAAGTGACAACAGCCTAATATATCTGCTGCCAAATTATGAGTTTCTATGTATCTAAATGGCAGTTTTTCCCTATGGCATTAATGTTAAAATTGTGGCCAGTGAAAATGCTGAGTGGCTAGTAACTTGTATATACATACACATGCGTAAATATATACACACTACACAGTCAAATCAAAGTCAGGATGATATACCCAAAATGCCATTTTGTTGTCAACTAACTAACTAACTAACTAGACTGTGTGCCAATGCTAGTAAGTCTCTTTAAAACTGAAAGGTTATATTGGGCTGTCAAATGACACAAGCTAAAAAAAAAAAAAGTATATAAATCTTGAAATAACAAAGAACAGTGAAAATAATAGTCACTTTTTGAATATATATGACACCTAGGAATTTCGTTTTAAAGATTTAAACTTTTATTTGACTCTTCTCATAAAAGGTTTTAAATTTTTACAGTAAATGTCCTCAATTTCAAGGGCCTTTCATGTTGTGCTCTGTATTACCAGGTACTTACCAGCACATATCCATAAGCATACAGCGCCGCCAAGTGGTGACAGACAAAAAACGCGTCACCCATGGTACTCCAGTTACAAGCTAGAAGCACCAGGTCTGAGTGAAGAGAAGAGTAGAGGACAGAAGAGAAAACAAGAGAGTAAAAAAATGTAGACAAACCTGAAAAGATCTGAAATGTGTCATCTGTGCGTGAACTTCCATAATAAATCAACGATTCATACCATAGAACAGGTAACCACAGGTGATGGCCACATTGAGCTTAACCAGGTTAGGATCACCCCTGAAGAAGCAGAAAAAGATAAAGCTCAAACAAAAAGGCAAAGACAACAGAATATGAAATGCAGTCACCCAGCAATGGAGATGTTGTACTGTTTGGACTTAAAAAGCTTAGCATTATTTCTGAAAGGTGTAATCCCTAAAAGCGTCACCACCCAGTAAACCTGCAGGTGAAAAACTTAGCCAACAAAAGCTGTTTTTGACTGAAGCCATTTATTACTGTACCATCACTGGTAACATGCCTCTGTCAACACTGCCAACTGTACAAGTGACGTTCCTCTGTAAAATCACAATCCAATGAAACCATGCTTAATGGAATTGACCTGGGTGAACATCTGAGATGACAGTGATCTACAACGTTTGCATGAAAAACATCATTCAAGCATTCAAGAATGCTTTTTTCATGGTCACAGATATCTGGTAATACTAGTGTCTTGTTGTAAGCAAATATACATAAGCGCAAAAATACTATAAAACAGAAATTAGAAACAAATGTGTGCTGTGACTTTTTGAACTGTCTGATCTCAGATCAGTTTCATGCATTTGGAAAAATTCAGAAATAGATTAGGGCCCATTTTTTTTAGTGCTGTCAAATCGATTAAATCGCGTCTAACATAATAAATAAATCGATTAATCTATCAAAAATCGATATATATATATATATAAACTTTAATGTTAGATTCGATTAATTGCGATTAAGAGATTTGACTGCAGCACTGCACTTTTTTATTTTCCAAATTCCATTTTATTTCTTCCAAAATTCTGTTTTCCATTTGATTTTTTTTTTGTTTGATTTTTATTTCGACCAAATAGAATAATAAAATCTTTTATTAAAAATGGTGGTAAATTAATGCATAGAACTTATGACTGAATTAATCTTTTAAAATGTAATCAAATGAAATTCAAACAAATCCTTTCATTTTTTTTGGTTTACTGTTTAAATGAAATCATGGATGAGAAATAAATTGTGTGATATTTTAATATTATTGTGTTACTATTACTTTGAGAGGAACATTCTACTGTATAACGGCAATATATTTCTGTCATAATTATTTAATAATATTAATATTCATAGACACTTATTTTGTTCCTCCAAATTCCAGTAAATTCGACAGTAAATTCCATTTTTATGACTGAATTCCATGATTATGTCCATATTTTGCTTTGTTCAGAGAAATTACACAAAAGGCCGCATAAACGCAAACTTACATACACAATCATTCCATTATCTCAAACTGCAGAAAAAGGCATCAAGCATCGCAGCTTAGGTTGGTTTAAGAAGTTTGTTTTCATGAAAATTCATTCGAGTGAGGTCGATGGGGTCATCTGAGAGTTACAAGGGAGAGACAATGAACTAAACAAAACTATGCGCTTGCCATATGGAAGATGAATATCTTGGTGAATGAATAACAAGCCAGCGTTACAGTACATCTGTGCATGAGATCCGCGTCTCTCTCTGAGTCTGTAAAGCGATCAGGGAACCGATACACAGCGATCGCAGGTGTCCAGTAGCAGAGGACATGTGTGTGTGAAACCTGATCTCAATGCGAGCGCTAGCAGACTCTCATGCACAGGAAGCTCGGTATACTCCGCTGACCTCTGACCCCTCTGTCTAACACCTGAACTCTCACTCCCCGTCCAGCACTGCACAGCTGACGCCTCCATGCAGGATTTCACACTTAATCTTACGTGTGCAAGTGGTTCTGAAGTACTGTAGAAGGCCTACTGTAGCCTTAAAGGTGCTGTATGTAAGTTTTTTTTTACTGTACTAAAGCATTTGCAGAGATTTAGGAAACAGGCTAAGTTCATATATTTGTTTCTGAAAAACAATGATAAAGCCTGTTATTCTATTTTGAAATGTGCGTTCCGTGTTGGAATGTCCAATGTTCCGTGTTTTGTTTTGGTCTGTGAGAAACCGCCCACTGCCTCGGCATCCATTTTAAAAACCGCTATGATCAGTGACATTTTAAAACGCGGATAAATCAACTCATCAACCAACATGACATCATGACTTTGCGTAAACATACACGCCACTTTCAAGTCAAGTAGCGTGTTATCTATACGCATTTTGAGCTATCCGCGTGTATGTCCATGCCGAAACGAACCGTCATCTTTTGCGTGTATGTCTACGCCGTTAAACGTCCGAGTGATTCCGCGTGTATGTGTACGCCGTTAAATGTCCGAGCGAAACGAAGCAAAATTCATATCTACATCTGTGGAGCAATATTTTTTTTCCTAGGATGGTAGGGGAAGACTCATAAATAGTATTAACCCCAGTGACGGGTAGGTTTAGGGACGGGGTTGGGGTAGGTCATATATTTATATATATATACACTCACCGGCCACTTTATTAGGTACCCCATGCTAGTAACGGGTTGGACCCCCTTTTGCCTTCAGAACTGCCTCAATTCTTCGTGGCATAGATTCAACAAGGTGCTGGAAGCATTCCTCAGGGAGTTTGGTCCATATTGACATGATGGCATCACACAGTTGCCGCAGATTTGTCGGCTGCACATCCATGATGCGAATCTCCCGTTCCACCACATCCCAAAGATGCTCTATTGGGTTGAGATCTGGTGACTGTGGAGGCCATTTTAGTACAGTGAACTCATTGTCATGTTCAAGAAACCAATTTGAAATGATTAGAGCTTTGTGACATGGTGGAAGTAGCCATCAGAGGATGGGTACATGGTGGCCATAAAGGGATGGACATGGTCAGAAACAATGCTCAGGTAGGCCGTGGCATTTAAACGATGCCCAATTGGCACTAAGGGGCCTAAAGTGTGCCAGGAAAACATCCCCCACACCATTACACCACCACCACCAGCCTGCACAGTGGTAACAAGGCATGATGGTTCCATGTTCTCATTCTGTTTACGCCAAATTCTGACTCTAACATCTGAATGTCTCAACAGAAATCGAGACTCATCAGACCAGGCAACATTTTTCCAGTCTTCAACTGTTCAATTTTGGTGAGCTCTTGCAAATTGTAGCCTCTTTTTCCTATTTGTAGTGGAGATGAGTGGTACCCGGTGGAGTCTTCTGCTGTTGTAGCCCATCCGCCTCAAGGTTGTGCGTGTTGTGGCTTCACAAATGCTTTGCTGCATACCTCGGTTGTAACGAGTGGTTATTTCAGTCACTGTTGCCCTTCTATCAGCTCGAACCAGTCTGGCCATTCTCCTCTGACCTCTGGCATCAACAAGGCATTTCCGCCCACAGAACTGCCGCTCACTGGATGTTTTTTCTTTTTCGGACCATTCTCTGTAAACCCTAGAGATGGTTGTGCGTGAAAATCCCAGTAGATTAGCAGTTTCTGAAATACTCAGACCAGCCCTTCTGGCACCAACAATCATGCCACGTTCAAAGTCACTCAAATCACCTTTCTTCCCCATACTGATGCTCGGTTTGAACTGCAGGAGATTGTCTTGACCATGTCTACATGCCTAAATGCACTGAGTTGCCGCCATGTGATTGGCTGCTTAGAAATTAAGTGTTAACGAGCAGTTGGACAGGTGTACCTAATAAAGTGGCCGGTGAGTGTATATACAGTAATGTACGTTAAGTCAACGGCGTTGATAAACACGCTGAAAAGCGATTATGCGTGTTGATAGCACGCCAAAAATGGAAATACGAATTGGCGTGTCATACATACGCCATTTCATGAGATCAGTCTGCATCAACGTACAGGTTAAGGCTCGCCGCCTTCCATTTTCAATTGTGCTCGTTCCTGTTGTGTGTCCTCAATCTGGCAACCCGTGTGTTTGCGGAGTCTGAGGACGAGGAGTGGGGGAAACAACTCTCTCCAATATTGTGAATTTGGATGCAGTACCCATTTCAACCACTAACTGTCTATATTACACACTGCACATTTAAGTACATAACTTTGATGATAGTTTGGCGGGAAAAAATAAAAAGAACCCAGCATTCATTTCTTTCAACTATTACCTTATAAATTATAAAGAAAATTATTTTAAAATGATGTGAATAATATATAATTATATACAATTATAATGTGTCATCTTATCTAATCGACTTCTTTATGTACTTTTATGGTTTAAACGTGGTACATGTTATTCTGACATTGACCTAAAACCTACTTGATAATCAGGGTTTTTTTTTTATTACCTGAGTACAGATAACTGATTGGTTTTTAGGGAGAAAAATAGGCAAAAGTTCATTTATATAGAAGATGTAGAATTAGCTTTCAGATAGACATACCTAAGCAAGTTTCTTTACCTGTGATCTAATTCACTCAGCTTTGGGGAACAGAATCAGACAACTGACCCAACAGACTTACAGTATAGACGAATCTAATGAAACACATTTAAGCGTAAGGCTTGAGTCAAGCTGGATGGCAATGCATGTAGCCGTTAGCATAAAACACAAAGAGATCGGCTTGAGCGGTTGAAAAGGTTCTGTGGAGCTTAACTCTTCAGGCAAGACAGTGAGTAAACCGGCATAATTGTTTTGTTAATTTAGCAAACAAAAGCCCAATCACTGAAACATATTTCTTTCTGTTGGGTCATTCGACAAAACAAGTGGCTTTCATTATCATGCGTGTAGATTCAAAATGTGCATAATTGCTAATATAGTTGAAAACAGAACAGAGGACAGCCAAAAACAAAATAAAGAGTGCAGACTAATAATATTTCTTCTTCATGCTACATACATTTTATTTGTTTTGAAATTTTCAAAATCCTCTAAAACTTCTTGTCCTGGTTCAAATGAAGACAAATCCCATATTTGACACGATATTGTGCTTGCAATATTAGCATTAAATGTAGCTTCTAAAATTCACCTTGAATGACACAATGATGAGCACAAGACAAGTAAAACTGTAAAACTGCCAGCCCTGTTACCATCAGCTGTAAACTGTATTAGTTATACAGTAGCCGACATATTAATATTGATCATGTAGCTTGAGATGCACAATGCAATTTACCTACACTTGAAACTGGATATTATCAAGCCAAGTGGTGGCTGCTCAGACGGGTCACACAAAAAACCCAAAAACCTTTCCTTCATGATCCCACGACAACAAGTGAAGACTGAGAGCAAAAACAAATATGAAAAGAGCAAAGCAGACAAAAGAGTTGACATCATCTAGAACAAAATCACATGAGCACTTAAAATTTATTTTTGGTAAAAAGAAATACACTTAAAAAAAAAAGAAGATAAATCGAAAAGGTATGTACTTGACATACTGTAGCTATGCTTACATCCACCTATTTTTAAGCAAATTTTGGGTTATCAAATAATAATAATAAAAAAGACTGGAAAGAAATGCCAAGCATGCATACATTCTAAAAATGCACATACAAATCTTATGCTCTCAATGAGGCAGACTTTTTTTTTTTTTTATCTGATAAGATGACATAAAAAAGCTACGCATAAGCTAAGATGGAAACGCATTTGCCAAATATATCCCAATGCACAACAAAAAAACTCACGGGACTTTGCCTCAACAGAGGATGTGATTGGATAACTGGACTAACCAGCTGACCAATCACATCATACAGCATCTCAAATGTTGGTTCGGTCATTCTGAAATGCCTGAACCAAAGTCTGTCATCAAAATGCTTGGGTTTCATTACGTCCCAGAAGTGTCTCACACGATTGCGTTCCCAAACACCATGAACAGCGTTAATTGCGTTTCATCTCCACGATTGCAGCAACTTCCTGGGAAATTGGTGTAAATTTTCTGTAATATAAATGGAAGTTCTAAATTTGTTCTCTTGAACACATAGGACGGAAACATTGCTTTATTCGCAAATGTTTAATGCGATATTCCAAGTTTGCGCTAAAATTAAATTCACAATTTTGGATGGAAACACAGCATATGATGATCCATTTCCACAGTTATTAACATTGTAACTATATTTTGTGTTATATTAATTTCACTGCGTAAGTGTTTCTAATACCACAGCTGAGGAAGTGACGCCAAATTTGACATATTTCTGTCTTTTGACCACCGTTATCAATCTCTCGATATTTTTTTCCTCTTTTGGAAAGTCATAGAAATGTATTGTGGATTTTGTTGCTATTCGAGCAAATGGGAACGCTAAAATTATATTTTCTGTAGTTTCCGCTCACCACCAGTTTACCCAACTATGACGACTTCAGCTTCTAAAACACCGGAAATGTGAAAAGGGTTTATTGGGGTGAGGATGAAGTGAGGGGAATGAATTCTCAGCAGCGTGTTTGTGGTCAGCATTTCTGGCCTGAGACGGCCTATGGCCTGGAGGACTGTCACATGATACGAGAGAGGAGGGGGACTGGGAATCTGATGTTTCCTGCTGAAAAGCGCCTTGTTGACAAGATTAAAAACTCTGATCTCAGAGATCAAGAAGGGAGAGAGGAAAAGACACATTGACAACAGACAGAGAGAAATACCTTTCCCTCTCTGAAAGAGTCAACAGGTAACCAAAGAAAACAGGGAAAAAAGGAGCAGAGGTGATGAGAAAGAAATAAAGCGAGAGGACAAGTGACAAATCAAGGAACTGGGGGAAAAGTTATTCATGAAGTAAATATGAATATTCAAAAAATTCCTTCAAGAAATATTCAATTGTTCCATAGAGAAACTGTTTTAACGATAATGTACAGCTTTCAAAACAGTGCCACCCTGAACTCCGAGACTTGAGTTGGTTTCTATATTCTCTTAACTATTTATAGATGTGATATTTTGCAATACACTTAAAGTATACTTTGTTTATACTTATAATCATTATAAATCAAGTTTTATGTGGTACCCTCATTTTTGACTAAACTCGATAATTTGCAATGCTTTATGGGATGAATAGTTCATTCCCTCATAAAAGAATTTAAGTGTCTTTGTTCTCTATTTACTTCAAATCAAAGTATGTAATGTTGTGGTTCATCTCAGAGATGTTTGGTATGATTCAAGGCTCTTTATTAAAGAATTTCATGAAATCTCTATGGAGAAAATGAAAGGGAAAAAATGACCTCTAGAACCAAAATAGCAGAAAAAGTGTCTAGTCACTGTTATAGAATGCAAATGGCGAAGGAAGAGATGAATATAGAAGTGAAATGCAAAGACAAGTGCTCTGTTCCCAAACCTAGTGAGCTGGCTTGCTGTTTATTTGACAAAAGTAGCAATTTCACAAGCACCATAAATATGAATTAGACGGGATTCCAATAGAGTCTAGCATTAGCATGTTGCAATTAATATTCATGCATGTAAACTAAAGCTGTGTGCTAATTCAGAGGCTGCATCCTTCGAAGGACGCAGACTTTAAAGGCCACGAAGGTCATACCAAGTGTTGTTAAACGGGACAGTCTAGCCTAAAGAGGATTGTCCTGTGACAGCTTCCGTTGACGAGTGGCAGTAACGTTTCAACTGGACTTTTTTGAAAGTTATATTCAACTGTCTGAAAACGAAACACCACATTCACCTTGGTCCACTCATGTACCTGATAAAGAGTACCAACTATCAATAAAACCACATATTGGTAAGATATGTCAACATTTAAAAAAAACATTTGTATCATTAGATATTCAAGTATGTTGAAACCCAACAATACTTACTTTTTCTCTTAAAAAAATATCCAATCCTCATCGCCGCACAATGAAACTTGGTGTAGGCTAGGCTAAGAAGGATCCACTCGTTCTATCCTTCGTGGCCCAAAAAAAGGACGCATTTGTAAGTCGCATTGAAAGAGCTTTTCGAATCGCGCCGCTCTGACGCATTCAGCCTTTGAAGGATTGACCCTTCGAATCGGGACATAGCTTATGCTTTATGCTCAGAGTATTTGTGTGCCGCAATGCATTCTGGGTTTGCTTTATCCATGCAATGCTGTTAAAAACGAGGCAACTTAGAAGGAAACATTAAGGGTGTGTTCACACTTGTAGTTCGATTCTGTTGGTTCTTTTGGTCCGGACCAAAAAAGAAAACAATACATTTAGTCCTGGTTCACTTTGCATTTCTCACTGCCATTAAGACAAAACTAATGATACAAAGAAAAAAAAACACAAGTATTTAGAGACCAAACATCCAAAACAATGCTAAATGCGCTCGTTGTGTGTGTGTGTAGCCTGCATATGAAGGTATTTTGATCAGCTGAGAACTCGTGAAGAGCTTATAAAACGTGTAAAGGAGTCAAAACAGCGGCAGGAATCCCTGTCACACACACAATCGAAGATCTGCTGCGAGGAGACGCCGTTCTGATGCCTGTACCGAACTGTGACGGGCAACATCGCGACTATAACGAGAACAAACAGGTATGCTTGAGCATTCTGTCCTTTATAGGGTCGCATCTGGTGACATCACGTCCTGTTTTTGGTTCATTTAGAGGTCTTCTTCCATCTTTTCAGTGATCTCGGTCCGCTCGTTTGGTGCGCACTAGGGTTTGGATGGCAGAGTTCACACTTAATTGAACAATCGAACCAAACCTGCCAAGTGTGAATAAACCCTAAGCTGCTGTCTACCTTTTGGAACAGCCATCAACAGTGGCCTCAAAATGCTGTCTCGGTAGGCAGCTCACTAGGTTTTGGAGCAGAGCTACAGAGGACAACAACTAAAGACAAATTACCATTCTTCCCCTTCAGGATGCAAAGATGCAGACCAAACAGGCAGCAGGCAGAAAAGGAAAGATTAAAAGAGAGGGAAAGAAGAAAAGAAAAATAAAGACAAGAAGACAAATGAGACGGCTGTTCTCTGCACTGGCGACTACAGTGGATACAACATTTCTGATGACAGAGCAAAAGTTGCAATTAAAACTTCAGGATAAAGGGAAATTTGTCATATAATCCTTTATACCATCAAATATTGGCACTTTTATATTGATTGGTACTAATTGTTTGATTCTTGCTTTTTGGGGGGTTTTATAGATTCATAAATAGTATCCATTTATGGTATCCTACTAAAGACGCATTTGTGAGTTTGGTTTTAAGCAGTGGAAAAAAAAAAAAAAATTCACAATGAGATCCAAAAAGTACAATAAAGGTGAAAATAAACCTGCCCTGTTTTTTGACCTACTGGGCTCTTACCAGACAGGGTCTTCATTGACGGCATCATCGTACCAGAGGATATAGAGACAGAACAGCCCCACAATTAAAGCATGGACAGTGGACACCAGCCTGAGGACATAAAAACAACTCCGTTATTCCCAGACAGAGAATCATTTGGATCTTGAACCTGAAAAAAAAAGTCAAAACAAAAGCTTGGAACTCAACATTTTACTTCAGGAAATTTCCACTGAGTTTTCAAGCAACATTTCAGTAATCGCAAACTCAAGCAGTTTGGCACTCAGGATTGTGCATCATTCAGAATTGATTTGAGAATGCCTTTTAAATAAATTCCTGGATTTTAATTGCACTTGACTTAAGGTAGCTGGATTTAAAGATTGAAATTCACAGAACTGAACTATTTCCCCGCCATTGACGTAATTCTTTGGCCAATCCATGTTTTACTGCACTATGTACGGTAGGGCGCGCTATTACATATCTTCTTAAAGAGTACAGAATCTCTGGATCCAAAAACAAGTGAAGAAGAAGCAGAAGCAAGCGATAGAAGCATTGCTTACGCACATGCAAACTAATGCAATCATCAAACATTAAACTGCATATTAATCAAAACTGCCTAACAATACCTAAAGAAAAGCCGAACCCATAAAGAGGTATAGGACTGTTGATGGACACGATCTACTCCGTCTATGCTGTGATCATCGTTCAGAATCTAATCTGGATGTAGTTTTTGACAAAAAAAAAAAATTCTCTCAGCTTTTTGTTCAAAATTGTGCTTTTTTGTTGCTTTTAAGTGTTGATAAAAAAGGAGTTACAGTCTGTTTTTAAAGCAGAGGCTCTGTTCTTTCTTTTGATATATTGTATGTTCAGATATTCATACAACAAAATATTTGGGGGGCCATACAACTTTTGTGTTAAAAGCAATTTTAAAAAAAAATGCTGGCGGTGAAAGAGTTTTGTGAAAATTGAAAATTACTAGTGTCATTTTTAAACAGAAAAGGAACTACATAAATATTGTCAAAACAAACTTTAAATGATGGCTAGACAGTCTTGTTTGAGAGTAATCTTGACATTTGTTACATAAATTAATTTTGTTGATTTATTGACTAGGTTGGAAGAACTCATGTAAGAAATTCCTCTTCCTTTCATTCTAAATATCAACTTCCTGTGGGAATTCAGTTCAGTGATTAAATCCAATTCCATAGCATAAATCGAAAGTGAGACAATTCTTAAATTCTGAATTTTGCACAACCATGCTGGTACACAAGTACACGATCAATCATTTAATTATAGATATGCATATCCCATTGGAAGCTTCTTGATTTTAGTCTTTAAGATAGTTGACCTACGAAAAGACAGTTTAGTTGGCGAGACGAGATTGAGACCTAGAATTTTCTTTTAAAAAGTGAGTCATTGTATAATTTGCAGGCTGGGTAGAAAGAAATCAACATTAGGAATCTCACATAGATAACATGGTGCTGACACATAAGGAGATAGTATCTGTGGTAGATAGCAGACAGTGAATGAACTATGATTTGATCTGATCCATTAGTGTGTTTGAGCGTGAGCATTGTCTGTGGACTGTAGACCTTTGAATCTGTTATCTGAGTGTTGAGAAACTCTCTAGGAATCTTTTCACTATTTAACAGAAAAAAGAAAAGAAAACAGAAAAATATTTGATGAAGACCATTGATCCGATGTGTTTTTTAAATTCTCTGTTCTACCATGTCTTGTAAACAAAAAGTAAGCAAGGTTGACAAGTTTGACAGGAAACATTCATACATTCTTATTTTCATCCCATGATAGTGTGAATAAGGTTTCATTCTGAGGTGGAGGAAGGGTTAATTCTGGGTCATTTCAACCCATGTTTGGGCCAGAATTTGTTTAACCCAACAGTTGGGTTTGTCCAAGTTTGACCCAAAAAATTTTTTTAGAGTGTATGTATGCTAATTTACAACAGATAAACAAACTATTATGCAAAATATTTTGGGTAACACTTTAGTTTTGGGTCCAATTCTCACTGGCTTTTGCTACCAAGTTTAGGTATTGGGTGGATTAAGGGATGTAGGATATGGTCATGCAAAATAAGGAATTATTATGTGCTTTAAAGTACTATAAACAGCCAATATTCTAGTAATATGCATAGCATACTAATACGCAACTAGTTAATAGTGAGAATTGGACCCTAAACTAAAGTGTTAGCATATTTTGTGTGTTCACAAAACACTATAATTATAAATATATTATTGTACCATTGTTAAAAAGTAGTGGATGCTAAACAAACTTTCAAAAATGAAATGCAGTCTTTATAGGGAAAGAAAGAAAAGCTGCGAGTCAATGCAGTTGGCTGTGTGCTTTCATTACAGCATGAAAGCATTGAGATTTGCTGACAGAATATCATCTCATTTTCATTCTCTAAACACGTCATGACTTTTAAACCAACGGAGGATGTCAAAACCAGAACGGGGCGTATATAATATCTTCTAAAACCAATTCAATCATCTTGTGTGTTTGACCTCTAACCATTTAAAGTGCTGTACAGAGATCTATATCTTCCTGACTGAGTTGTGTAAGGTCAAAGTTAACCAGGTTCATAAGATAAAGAGGAAAGGTGATTAGAGAAATCCTACATTTCACAATTCAGTACAGAGATCACTAGACCTCGCTTGTGTCGGCCTACACTCATGTACTACGACATTACGAATGATGTTTGAAGGCCTGTTTGTACATTTGAAGATGTTCAACAAAAAAGAGAATTCTCTCATATGACTGGATTCAGTGATCCGATCTCGACTAAAACGCATCCTAAAACCAGGTTTAAACAGGGCCTAAGATTATCTCTAAGTTCTAAAGGTTTTTAAGATAAACTTCTTCAAAAACCTTGAAATATTCATAACTGACAGCAGCATCTGAACGGTTACATCAGCTTGTGTTAAAAACTCTTAATTCTGGATATTTAAGGGATTTATCTAAAATCCCTTAAAGGGATACTCCACTTTTCTTGGAAATAGTCTCATTTTACAACTCCCCCAGAGTTAAACTGTTGAGTTTTACCGTTTTTGAATCCATTCAGCCGATCTCCGGTTAAGGCGGTACCACTTTTAGCATAGCTTAGCATACATCATTGAAGTGGACAAGACCGTTAGCATTTCTAAAAAAAAAAAATGACCAAAGAGTTTCGATATTTTTCCTATTTAAAACTTGACTCTTCTGTAGTTACATCGTGCACAAAGACAGACGGAAAATGTAAAGTTGCGATTTTCTAGGCTGATATGGGTAGGAACTATACTCTCATTCCTGCGTAATAATCAAGAAACTTCACTGCCGTACCATGAGTGCAGCAGGCGCAATGATATGACGCAGCGCCTGAAAATAGTTTCAACAGTTTAAAGGCACACTGTGGAACTTTTCAACCTTTATAATACATTACCAAAACCCATTGAGATGGTACATCGACTTACAATAGGTTGAATGACACGTCTGCCGAAGCCTGAAGGTGTCTGTATCGCTTTTCCTAGCACTATGTAACTTCGGGTTTCGGGTAGGAACCCGAGCACAAAAAGAACTACAAAATTCGACCGCTTTACGGCATACGTCACTTCCCCCACCACCCCAACTTCCTCAAATTCTAACGTGAGAGCTCAACTCGCGTTTGATTGCCGTCTGTATGTTGTCGTCATCATGGCTGAATCAACAGCTACTCGGAAGAAAGCGAAGAAAGCAAAGATTTTGTCAGAGGAGACCAAAAAAAGAAAAAGGGAGAGTGATAAACTAAAAGCAAGGACGAGAATAAACATTGGTCAAGCGTTCCCTCGCTGGTGTGCGATAAAGGAGGATGAGGGATTCCCAACCGATGCTGACCTGGCCGTCATGCTTTTGGACTAGTAAGTTAAATATATTGCTTGCACAATATCTCTATTTTTTCAAATTTGTTCTCTGCCTGGCCATGTTACTGATTCTATATTGTCCTCCATTTAACTTAATGTAACAAGGAATGCTAGTAGAGTAAGTTAGCGAATTATCAATCTGGTAGCTAAATGTTAGTACAAATATAAATGTTATAAATATTGGGAAAGGTTTGCATTCAGCAGACACTTTATCCTCCGATTTTGAAACGAAACAGGGCTGCAACTTAACAACTAGCTATAGGCTTTGTTTAATTTGTATGCAATTCATCTGGTAGCAGACACGGGAGGTTGACCGGTTGACTGTTTGTTGACTTTTGCGACAATGCTGCGGCGCTTGTGGCCTCTAGGGGCACTAGACGTGAAAATTACAGGTCGAGCGCACCCTAGTGGCCAAAAATTCCACAGTGTGCCTTTAACTCTGGGGGAGTTGTAAAATGAGACCATTTCCAAAAAAAGTGGAGTATCCCTTTAAATACAACTTGTCTTTAAAGTGATTTATTGGATCGTTTTATACATTTAATCAAGTAAGTCAAGTCACCTTTATTTACATAACGCTATGTAAAATACAGATCGTTTCAAAGCAGCTTCACAGTAATAAACAGAAAAATAATGATCAATGATTCAACAATTTAAATTTTGTTGCTCAACAGAAGACAAGTGTCATTATTCAGTTTAGAATTAAGCATTACACAACATAACACTAGCAACATATAATACATAATAATGCTACTGCAAAATTTTATTGCGATCATCTAGAAAATTCTCCTGTTCAAGTTATTAAATTAATACATTTCATGCATTTTACATTTAAAAAAAATGATCTGGAGGAGCTTGCTACTTAAAAAAAAGGTTAATAGCGTGTCAAATATAGTTTTAAGATTTGATTTAAATTTGTTATATTAGACAAGGCAGCCTCATGTGCTGGATAGTATGCAAACAAACATTTTATTATTCTATTATTAAGAACAAAAAGTGTTCTTTGAGAAATTAAGAATTTCTCAAGCCCTTAGAAAACCTTTTACAAGTTCTTAGAGTTTAATCCTAAGATTTTAAGATAATGTTAATCTTATGATTTCCATGAACCAAGCTGCACTCATAAACCCAGTAGCATTATCAACACATCTACACATTCATGCTATATTTCACAATATGTGACTTCCTTTAGAACTGCTTTGTGTCTATGTTTAGGTCTATATTTGTTTCCAAGTTTGACCATTATTTATCCATACATGTATAACTAGGCCTACCCATCCATTTCTATTTGTACTGTATACCCATCCATGCATTTCTCCCACATTTCTGTTGGGGCGGCTGTGATTTATTTTGAGCTCATACCTGGAGTTCCAGTCGTTGAGTTTGCGTGGTGGAAGTTTCCCATAACCGTGTGTGAAGTTGGAAGACAGAACCGGACTGACGCAGGAGAAGAACAGCTGGAACCCCACGAAGCTGCCAGCCACCACATACACCTCTCTCATATCCATCGCTCACCTGCACGAGAGACATCACAACACACACCGGCCGTCACACTTGTGCTCGCTCAGCCAATAATCTCTCACAATGTTGACTGCGTTTGTGTGCAATCTCTTACCAGACAAGAGCACGACTGCTCATTGATTTCACAAAGACTGTGTGTTAAGAATTAATCTGTTTGTGAGAAAAGAGGTAGACTGACAAAGAAAGTAATTAAAGGTGTAATATCGTGAAAGCACTTCATTGTTTTCCAGAAAGAAGATTATGACGGAGGGAAAGAGTGATGGAGAATGTGAGAGCAGGAACAGAAAGACAAACTGTCTGTAAATACATTTCGTATTTTTGAAAATGGTAATAATTACATAACTTCTGAAAATGTATTTATTTTTTACGTCTCCGTTTACGCTACCTAACAGCAATAGTCAAAAGTGTTTGTCAAATTTTCAAAAGTAAAATTAAATTTAATAATTGTATTTATTCATTCTTAAGAATAAAATACTTAACTGCCATTTTCCTCTCATTTTCTAATAAGAAATAAAAATACATTTTGAAGTCCCAAATATAAATGTTGCTTTATTTCTTTCTTTAAACAACACTTAAAAACAATCTTAAAGTTGGGATAACATCCAAGTTTGTTTTCTAAAATCCCTTAAATCCTACTTGTCTTAAAGGAAAGATGTTTAATTTATTGAGTAGTTTCAAATATTTATCATTACAACACAATGTTCTAGAAAAAACATTACTAGATTAAAAATTAAAAGACAGTTAATCACACATTTCATGCATTTTTACATTTAAACCAATGGTTGTGATGGGCTTGCTACATAAAAAGGGTTAAAAGATGTTACTGTTAAGATTTACCAGTGTAAAGAGAGCACCGCGTTGTGTTGGCGCGAGAGCAGTCGTTGATAATATTTTATAAATAAAATGGTAAATCATGATTTTTTTGCAAACAAAGCCATCGCATCGCTTCATTAAACTGAGGTTAAACCACTGGAGTCACAAGGATTATTTTAATGATGTCTAATATCTGGGGCTTGAAAGTGGTAGTTGCGTAAGCTGTCAACGGAGGGAAAGAAATCTCTCTGATTTCATCAAAAATATCTTCATTTGTTTAACAAAGATGACTGAATCATGTCTTACGGGTTTGGAACGACATGAGGGTGAGGAATTAATGACAGAATTTCTTTTTTGGGTGAACTAACCCTTTAAAAGATCAAGAAAATGTTAGCAAAAACAACCACAGGAAACGTCTCATATCTCTGGTCATTGGTCAATGTCTAGAAATTTCAGAAAAATGAGCGCCAGAGGCTAGAGGAATGTAATGTGTGTGTGTGTGTGTGTGTGTGTGTGTGTGAGAGAGAGAGAGAGAGACTCATTATAGAGAGGGGTCACTGTCCCCCAGCATGCTGAAGAGTCATATTGAGTCATCTGGTATTTTTCAAGCTGTATCACTGTATCAAGCTAACACACACACACACACACACACACACACACACACACACACACACACACACACACACACACACACACACACACACACACACACACACACACACACACACACACACACACACACACACACACACACTAAAGAAATACTAACTTGTGCATCAATGTCTTTGCAATAAAGCATTTCAGCAATAAAAACTTATATTAACCTTATCAACCAAAAAAATATATATTTTTTTTTTAAATGCATTATTTTTAGCATGGTTTCCAAATACGTTCTTCCACATAAAAGTCTGGCTGTTCATTTCAATCTCACGCAATTCCTTGAACTTCTATTGCGAAACCTCTCATGATTGCATCTAACACAGAAACAATGGGCTCAACCGCACTAATCCCACCAAAAATGTGGGTAAACATGTAGCTGTACTTTATTAAGATTAAACTAACAAAGGTTTAAATCATTTACCCAGGTACTGATGAGATTGCAACAATAGGAGCAGATTGGGTCATGATGATGATGATGATGATATGAGCACAATGTCTTTCTCTAATCTAGTAACCAGTCTCCTGTTACCCCAACTCAACACTTCCATTGTAAATCTATTTACAGACTAAAAAAGGTGACTGGCAACATGTGATCCCCTCTGGTGAGGGCACGTATGGAGCATACTGTATATATACTGTAGCGTGACGGTGTTGAGAGGGAATGGGCCACAGGTAACCTTTCATCAACAAACAATCGACCACCACATAATAACCACAGACCTTCATCGCTGGTCAAAAGACTCTGCTAAGCTTATGCTATCTGGGAATGATAGATTTAGGGAATAATGCACACATGGATGTTGATTCCACAACATGATACACTAGATGATGTTTCAATAACAACGAACCATGTGCATGTAAGTGGGTCATTCTCAAAGGTCACAGTTAAACTTTTAATATTCCCATATGATAGGCTCATCACTATGAGGTCTTAATAGAGTTTGAACTTCAGTTTAAGTGTCTTATGGCATGTGTGTGGTTGACTGGTATTTACAGTATGTCGATATATCTATTTAAATGCCAGTAAGTCATTATACACGAGTCATGCTTAAACACCTGGAAACAAATGGTACTTGCCAACACAAAATCTAAACTAGCAGGCAGTCATCATCGTTTAATGGAAAAATATAATAAGAAATAGATTTTTTTCTAAATGTAGCTACTTGTTCTGCAATAACATCTAATAGATCATGATCTAAACATGTAAATGTTACTCTGCTGTGCTGTCATAAATGTGTTTCTCTGTCTATATATATATATATATATGTGAAAAAGTGAAAGCAATATTGAGGACAACAAATCTTTGTTACAAAAACATACTAATATTTTTGTAAGTTCTTTGGAAAAAGTGCCATTTTTTTCATATAGCCGGCCTATGTCTGTGTGTAAAGGAAATTAACTAAATACATAATCATAAAATCAATCGCACCCACATATAAGAGGCTGTGTGAAAAGACACGTGTGACAAAGGCAAAGCCAGCTATCAAGCGAAATTATGCGGAAGCTCGTTCCGCTGAGCAGGTTCAGTTTCGCAGGAATAACAATGAAAAAATGACCAATTCTAAGTTTGAATTCTACATTCACACATTCTCCGAAACATGAAAGAAAGCGCGACTGCGTCATAATACCACAGTGCGTCATAATGCGCTGCATAATAATGATCTTTGTAACGTTAACCGTCCCCGATTCTCAAACTCGTGAACAATAACAAAGCCCACACGCAGTGAATGAATCCAGGCGCTTTTACGCAGAAAATACGTTGCATGTGCATCACGTAAGAACATTCATCACACGTAGCGACTTGAATGAGTGTCCAAACCAACTCTAGCGCGCTAAACTTTTCTATTCATCTGTCGCGCTAACAATGGCCATGTAAATAGGCTAATGCATGTGACAGGTGCAGAGAGCGATGCTTCTGTACACACAAGCTTTTTGAATGACATTTACAGTTTGCATCACCTGATAAGAGTCGCATAGGTCTGTGTAAACGTGTCCAGATCCTGTCGTCTTCTTTCTTTCTTCTGTCCACGAACCCAGTCTTATTTCGATGGCGACGGCTAGCGAGCGCTTAGCCCACACGCTGTCTTTAAAACCGCACGTCGTCAGGGGGCGAACGGACGAATAAACCGGTATTTCTGGCGCGAGGCCATTTCAGACATTTAACAAACACGCAAGGATATCATAAACCTCCACGGAGTCTGCAGCACCAAACACTGCATTTCTTCACCGTATTGACAGGCAGGCTCCGTGATGACGTCGGCACTGACCCCGCCCCTCCTCCGCCCCTCCTCCGCCCCTAATGAAGTCCCGCCCACCGCACAAACACTACTGAAGAAATCCCTCAGGCCCAAAACATGTCAACTCATTCTGAGAAAATATGTCTGTCTGTCTGTCTATATCCTAATAAAGTCCCGCCCACCGCACAAACACTACTGATGAAATCCCCCAGGCCAGAACATGTCAACTCATTCTGAGAAAATATGTCTGTCTGTCTGTCTGTCTATCTATCTATCTATCTATCTATCTATCTATCTATCTATCTATCTATCTATCTATCTATCTATCTATCTATCTATCTATCTATCTATCTATCTATCTATCTATCTATCTATCTATCTATCCATCCGTCCGTCCGTCCGTCCGTCTGTCTATCGAAAAAAACTGTGCATTAATACTAGGCCTGTAGCGGCGCGTCGATGACGTCGACGCTTCGACGTCAAAAATTCGTCGACATCATATTTTTTTGTCGACGCTTCTTTATTTATTTATGTATTTATTTTTTTGCACCGTTCCCGGCAGTAGGCCTACAGCTCGCCACACACACGTGGGAGACCGAAACATTGCAGAATCGAGGACGAAACAGCAACCTCTTCACAGAATTCAAAACAAAGCCATGCAAAAGTCCCAACAAAAGAAAAAGTCCTAAAAAAACCCAGCTCGCACTAAATCATCGAAGGTATGGGAATACTTCAAATTTAGTCCCAAACGTAAAGGTGTCGTTATTTGCGCTCTTTGTCAAATGGAGTTGACATCCCAAGTCTCCCGCATAGTGATAGCGGCTCCCTGATGACCGCAAATTAGTTAAAATCTCCCGGAATCTAGAGCTCGCGAGCTCCAAACCGTGTAGCGCGCGCAGCGAGGGAGAGAGCGAGAGACCTTGCGCGTGTGTGCGCAAATGTGCGTGTGTGCCTTATGAAGCGCATGTAAACCCCACCCCGTCAACAAAACCGAAAAATCAGTCCGGATGTTTTTTATGAGCACTGAAAACATTAAAATGAGCACCACATCCAAGTGTGATAGGGCTCATTTGAGTAGCCTATACCAAACATTTTACAGTGTAGATACTCTGTAAGAACCAGATCAAAATTGTTGTGCATTGAATGTGCACTCCTGCAATTTCCATGTTACAAAAAAAGAATCGTTCAATTAGTCGTTAGATTAGTCGACTAATCGATAAAATAATCGACAGACTAATCGTTTAATTAATAATCGTTTACCCCAGCCCTAATTAATACATAGAATACTAATGTGAAAATTAATTGAGGTATTCCTGGAATATTATATGACAAAAGAACTTACATTTATAACTTAAACAACATGCATTAAAGCATGACAGCAGCAGAATTCAGTTTGCTAATAGTGTCTATTTTCAGGTGTTGTGCAATATTGACCATGTTATGACACATCATGAGGGTCACTAGTTGGGGAAAGCACTCTTCACTCTGTTAGATTCTTTTTTTGCCCTCTAGCTGTTAATACTGATTGCATACAGGCAATGGTAACCATCAGAAGATGGCAGTGAATAGCTGTGCTTTTGTTATTTAACTCAACCAGCCTTAACTACAGTTTTTGGACATCATAATTACTAACTAAAAACCACTTCAGTTGCCCTGCAGTTGTTTACCTTCTTTCAGGTGACACCAACTTATAATTAGCTGGGAGCTTTTATCATACAGACAAAAGCAAAGACGTAATTAAATATACAGTAAAGACTGGGTGGATCCAAAATTTGGTCATTAAAACCATTCGTGTCCACTCATGATGGGGGAGGAGAGAGTGAGCTAATCAGCAGTAGAGGGCGTGTCCACTCATGATGGGGGAGGAGAGAGTGAGCCAATCAGCAGTAGGGGGCGTGCCCACTCATGATGGGGGAGCAGAGAGAGTGAGCCAATCAGCAGTAAGGGGCATGTCCACTCATGATAGGGGAGGAGAGAGAGTGAGCCAATCAGCAGTAAGGGGCGTGTTCACTCATTATGGGGGAAGAGAGAGAGGGAGTGAGCCAATCAGCTGTAGGGGGGCGTGTCCACTCATGATGGGGGATGAGAGAGAGTGAGCCAATCAGCTGTAGGGGATGTGCCCACTCATGATGGGGGAGGAGAGAGTGAGCCAATCAGCAGTAGGGGTGTGTCCACTCATGATGGGGGAGGAGAGAGAGTGAGCCAATCAGCTGTAGGGGTACGTGCCCACTCATGATGGGGGAGGAGAGAGTGAGCCAATCAGCAGTAGGGGCGTGTCCACTCATGATGGGGGAGGAGAGAGAGTGAGCCAATCAGCAGTAAGGGGCATGTCCACTCATGATGGGGGAGGAGAGAGTGAGCCAATCAGCAGTAGGGGGCGTGTCCACTCATGATGGGGGAGGAGAGAGTGAGCCAATCAGCAGTAGGGGCGTGTCCACTCATGATGGGGGATGAGAGAGAGTGAGCCAATCAGCTGTAGGGGATGTGCCCACTCATGATGGGGGAGGAGAGAGTGAGCCAATCAGCAGTAGGGGCGTGTCCACTCATGATGGGGGAGGAGAGAGAGTGAGCCAATCAGCTGTAGGGGTAAGTGCCCACTCATGATGGGGGAGGAGAGAGAGTGAGCCAATCAGCTGTAGGGGGACGTGCCCACTCATGATGGGGAGCAGAGAGAGTGAGCCAATCAGCTGAAGGGGGGCGTGTCCACTCATGATGGGGAGGAGAGAGAGAGAGAGACAATCAGCAGTAGGGGGCGTGTCCACTCATGATGGGGGAGGAGAGAGTGAGCCAATCAGCAGTAGGGGCGTGCCCACTCATGATGGGGGAGGAGAGATTGTGAGCCAATCAGCAGTAGGGGGCGTGCACACTCATGATGGGGGAGGAGACAGTGAGCCAATCAGCAGTAAGGGGCGTGGCCACTCATGATGGGAAGGAGAGAGAATGAGCCAATCAACTGTAGGGGGGCGTGTCCACTCATGATGGGGGAGGAGAGTGAGACAATCAGCAGTAGGGGGCGTGTCCACTCATGAAGGGGGATGAGAGAGAGTGAGCCAATCAGCAGTAGGGGGCGTGTTCACTCATGGTGGGGGAGGAGAGAGCGTGTTCCAATCAGCTGTAGGGGGCGTGTCCACTCATGATGGGTGAGGAAAGAGATTGAGCCAATCAGCAGTAGGGGGGGGTGTCACTCATGATGGGGGAGGAGAGAAAGTGAGAAAGAGGGAGATTTGAAGAAAGACTGTAGAAAGAGAGATGGCTGAGAGACATTACAAAATAGAAAAGGTCAAAGGAATATCACTGGGAAAAGAAGAGTTATGATCAGGCAAGAGCTTTAGGACCCGCGTTATTATTATGCTTTGCAGCGCTGGAGAGACCGAAGCAGGAAAGCCTGAAACAGACGCAGAGATTGCATTGTTTCTGCTCCATACGTGAGTAACATCGGTTTTGCTGTTTCACAGAACCAAGATATGCTGTTGTTGTAATGTTAGCTGGTAACAGGACAGTTTTGAGTGTTATTGTTTGTCTGGAGCTGCTGGCGACCAACAACCAACTTTTGCTTGTCTATAATCATGTGTGTGTTAATATTTTGTCCTTCCTTGTTGTTCATTCGTCATCTTCGCTTTATTCTTCACTAAACATTATTTCGCTACACTTCAGCTATGATAAAGAGACATCCACTCTTGCATTGCGTGTTTGTGCATTTTGGGGGCGGAGCAATGAAGCAAGAGGTGTGTTGGTTTGGGCTGATTTCTCATAAATCGCTTACTGCTCCTTTAACATGGAGCAAGCCTTTAATAATGATGTCGCAGAAAAATTCAGAGGCAGGTCACGCTTTTACTTTATTCAATTACCCAAAACACAGATCAATGACTTGTTGGGTGTATATAAATAAAGATCACCAAAGGAAATAAATTAATCCGGTGCACATTTTTTAATACAAAAAGACTTGTTTGCAAAACTGTACAAATATCTTTTTTTTTTATTGGGTGTATGAAAGAATAAATAAGAGAGCTGAGAGTTAAAGGTAAAAGATTTCTAAAGGTGAAGTGAGTAATTTTTTACATGTTAAATTATTTCTGGTATCCTTGTTTAATATGCACACTATAAATGAATAATTCATAGTTTGATCCCCCCTAACCCCCCCAATCTTTTCTTGCTCAGTTTCTTTGAGAATCCCATTGGCTCAACCAATTGCATGAGTTTGGGGGTGGGGCTTTCTTTTTGTCTGACCAATAGCAGACGTTTGGGAAACATGTTTAAAATTATTGTTGTTGCAGTTCCCGAGTCGTATAAAAATTGCACACTTCACCTTTAAGGAATGTTTAAGGGTGTAAATGTGTATCTTAGCATGTGAAGCATGGTGCTCTTACAACAGAGACAGTAACTGTACGTAGCACAGAATGTGGCAGAGGCTGGACCTGGTGCCGGGATGTAAAGGCTGAGGGGGCATCAGACAGATTAGATTTCACAGTTAATGTTACAAACATTAATTTTCATCCGTTTGGAGTGCAACTAGGTGGAGAGTTTACACTCATCTGATTACAGTACACACAGTTTGTATACACAGCTTACTTACATTACCAAACAATTAGTCTAAGTAAATGCAATGTTTAAAAAAATGTGATTCAAGCAAAACGTAAAAAAAATAAAAAATAAAAAAAATCAGTAAAATAGACAGAAACCAATTTAACAGAGCTCAATAAAATGATGTAGTGCACAAAACTTGGCCTATGGTACAGCACATACATCCAATTGACACGCTCATGAGCATCCTCAGTTTACAAAAACTAAAACTCTAAATCAATTATAGTCAAACCTCAAACCTGCGCACATGAATCTGTGAGCATCACTTTATTTTAGCTGCCTGAAACACCAAACCATTTGTTTAAAATGGACTTTCTCAATACATTTTCCAGGTCTAGAATGATTAATTTATGCATGTTCTTCCAAAAGAAAATAATGTTTGTCTTAAAGAGGACCTATTATGCTTTTTTACATTTTCAACTTTCTTTTTGTGTAATGATGCTGTTGCTGCAAAGTTACAAAGCACAGTCACTCCAGAGGGAGTAATTCCAGCCCGATCTCACGGCAATTCGTACGAATTTTACAAGGTGGCTAATTCGTACTAATTCATACGACCTCACTCGTACAAATTCGTACGATTTTTGCTAATTCGTACATATTTTACGAGTTACCAAATTCGTATGAATTCATACGAATGACCTACCCCTGACTCCGCCCCTAAACTTACCCATCACGTGGGTTTAGACAAATCGTACGAATTCGTACGAGTGAAGTCGTATGAATTAGTACGAATTAGCCACCTTTTAATCACTCGTACGAATTCGTACGAATTGGTCGTGAGATAGCGTTGGTAATTCTCTATATCAGTAACACTGTTTCTGAAATCCCTGAAACGCCTCCATTGTAGTCTTGAGTTTCTTCCGGGAACAAACACGTCAGAATATTCTTCATTTAAATAATTCCCGCACAAGGCATACACAAAATAAAGACGAGGCCTGGTTGAGTTAATTAGTATTGTGTTAAAACTCACGGTTATGGTGAGGGGCGGGACATTTCTGAAAACACACTCAAAGCTGTTGATCAATCACAACACCCTAATCCAGCCGACCAATCAGAGCACACTGAGCTTTCAGAAGGAGGGGCTTCAAAGAGACAGGAACTAAACAGAGCGTTACTGACAGACTGAGAAGAGAGGAGCAGCAATAATGTCGAAATAAGGGAAAATAATGTTGTTGTTTTTTTTACATTCAGGAATGAAAACCTATTCTAGTAGATCCTAAAAACAAATTCAAGACTTTGTAACAGGGCATAATAGGTCCTCTGTAATCTTTCATCAAAATGTTCAAATTAGCTCCCCTACCGAAATTACTTTCCTTTTGAGCTCTCCTCACCTAGGCAGTGCAGGCTATTGGTTAATGTTAACCAATCATCAAATAACTCAAATAGCTTTAAACGTTAAAATCTCACTGTACTACAAGGCATCCAGTGCTGTTTGCAAAGAGCAGGAATGATTTCATTGCAAGGTCCTTTCATAACATCATCAATATAAAATGACAGCCAAAGGTTTTACACACTTGCTAATGAGGGTTGTGCAAAATTCAGAATAGGTTCCCTTTCAATTTACAAATGTGAATTTAAACTGAATTGGCTACACCCCACAAGATTGATCTATCTATCTATCTATTGATCTATCTATCTATTGATCTATCTATTGATCTTTCTATCTATCTATTGATCTATCTATTGATCTATCCATCCATCCATCCATCCATCCATCCATCCATCCATCTATCTACATTACAAATTACTGTAGTAGTCACTTGAATTTCTTTGAATTTCAATCACTTCCTTACATTCAAATTTGAACTGCAATTCTGCATCTGTCTGCTACCTCAATTCAAGTTCAATTCAAATTCGGGAACCGAATTGTAAATTAAATGGCATTTTCAATTCAATTCTGTATGGTGCACAACCCTGTTAGTAACACATGGTGAAAAGGTCATTCACTATACAAGAAAGAAACTAACCGACCTTCGGTTACTGCATTTTTGAAAACCTCCACAAAAATACCAACAACAATACAGATGTTGTCTTTATTGTTCTGTTGACGTCATGGGATGCAATTCTTGCTTTTCTCTCCTCAGAAACGAAGAATCCAATCCGTCTTTGATGGCAAACTGTAAGAATGTCTAGTGTCTGAAAGCGTTGTGTTGCGTCTGGGGCGACAGTAATGAAAATGACGGCTCATGTCAGACTGTGCATTACGTCTAGCTGGTGGAGAAATCCTTGTGAGCACAAACTGGACATTAAATATGAAAAAGAATGCTGTGGTCGAGTTTTTGTGTGCATGTCATTAAACAGCGCAATTCTTTACGATGCATCCAAACGTTATTATAAGAGCTGGTATCAAGAACGTGTCCAAGTTTAGAGGTCTTTTCCTAAAGGGAATTCTTGATGTGCACTTATATAGTCCAGGTATCTGATGCTGATGAAGATTATCCCAAGTGCATAGTGAACATGACTCAAAGACAACCAACGGGTACTCCATGTGATGAATATAAAAACTTAATCAGTACTATGAACAAAATAGAAAAAAATAGACATGCCTTTAACCAAAAGAAGAAGAAAACTGTGCATGTATTTACATATGACTTGAAATATCTGCAGTAAAAATCGAGCATTTCAGCCAAAAGCTGATCAAGACTTCTTCATCGGTTCCCGAGGAAATAGGTCAGGTTGAGGTTTGAGGTCTTCCACCCAAAAAATCCGTTCGAATCCTCCACCCACAGTCCAAACAAACCCTCTGGCAAGAGTGAGACGCCAACCTGTGATTCCTGGCGTTCGAGATCTTCGAGCAGGCTCTCTACAAGTGCTTCTCGTTGTTTGTTTGAGCGGTTTGTGGAGGCCCTATCGGCAGCATGGAGGATGATGGAGGATGAGGGGTTGGAGGTGAGTAAATCTAGACCTGCGTGGAGTAGGAGCGGTGCAGAGTGGAGGAGTGTCCCGCGGAGTGGGCGGCGCAGTGGCGCGCGTGCTGGGACGGCTGGTCTAGACTTCGCTGGAAATGGAGCGAGACGGTATGAGGACATCGGGGGGGACGGGGAACCGATGAGGCTGATGGTCATGTGATCTCAGTGAATGAAGATCCCCTTGGAGTCTGTAAGGGGGGAGAGAGAGAGTGTGAAGGGAGAGAGAGAGAGAGAGAAAGGATGAGAAACCAAGACTGGAAGGTGGAAACGGCGTAAATTAAAATTAAGTGATGCACCGAAATGTATTTTTAACCAAAACACTGAGACTAAATTTAAAGCAGAAAACCCTAAAATTCCCTAAAAGAAAATTATGTTTCTTCTCCAGTTTGTTGATGAAATACAAACATTTAAATGGTATCTGTAATAAAAACTTGTTTTTAAGACAGATTTATTCAGACATTAAATAATGAAGACATCACAACAGGTTAAGTATAATAAAAATGTAATATAGTGCACATATTTATTAAAATGCTCCTTTCTATAGTATTTTTAGCTAACTATCGAGTAAATGTAACGCTGCAGGATATATTGTTTACAAGCTGATTTATTGGCGCTGATTGAGCAATTAAATGAGACATGATGATGTACTTCGGTTGTACCGTTTCTTTCAACATACCTTCTGATGTTCATTCATGTTTATTTTGTTCTATAACTAGTAGTAAAGAGAAAGAGGTAATCGGTTCACTTGCCGCTTGACCTGAGGCGGCTGCGATCTGTCAGGCCACATTAAGAGCGTTAGAACGGCGGTTTTATTGTTGGAATTTCATAATAAAATTGACGGAATCTGAAAGCTGAGACTTTCGCTGCATCCGAAATCGCATACTGTATAGTATGAACTACATTTGATTTGAAACTTACTTCACGACCATTAAAAAAAGTGCGTTCTATCTACATAGTGTTGAATCTGTGTTGTCACTGTCATGTGACCCACTGATGTGTCAGTTGCGTCGCTTCACTGCGTTTATTTCATATTAAAAACGTAACAAAGCACAAAGCTTATATTGGCGCCACACTAGTGCCCACATGTTGTAGCTTATCCAAGTTTTGTGCACGAAATAGACACTGACACAGTTAAAACGTATCATTGGAGAAGCGCTAATTAAACGTCACTCTTTCGGCCAGAAATTTTCGGTTCATCACTAAACAAAATATAAGACTGAGGGAGAAAAGGGATGACTGAATGGTCGATGTGACAAAGAGAGGAAAAAAAAGTCAAAGCAGTTTCAAAAGTGAGGAGGATGAGGGTGGCCTACGAAGGGGAACTCACACAGTCGTAATTTTTCACATCTAATTGCCTTCCGCCTTTGACGTTCCACATGCTACACAGTCCACTTTCTACAGACGTTGAGGAATCAATGAGTTAATGGCCCTAAATATTTTGTTGCTTGTCAGATACTTTATTATAAAAGTGATAGCAACGTCTCTTTAGGACAAAGAGCAGAACAATCCTCCAGAGTGTCAGTGGGTTTTGCAGGGTTGGTGTTTGGGTTGTGCAGGTTGGTCATGCTAGTAAAGGGAGAAGGAGGGCTGGGTGGGTCGAGGGAGTCACATTAGGGTCCACTGGGTCAAAAAACAGAAGGACAGGGTGGGGTGTAATCCATCCCCCTTATGTGTGCAGTCCTGCCACTAACCCACTCCCACCCCTTACCTGAGTGCCACTTAACTTTTCAAGTGGACTCTCTACGCAGGGCAGCGCCACCATGGGCATGCCCAGCACTGACTCAGGACGCTGGGGTCGCGCTGGTGGGGGCGGGGGCTTTGCCTGCTGGAAGTTGTTGATCACGCATGTTACCTAGAGAGAGAGAGAGAGAGAATACAGCGAAGGAAGATAGAGATAGAGAGATAGAGATAGAGAAGAACCGGCGGAGGGTGTGATGGAGAGAGGGGTCACTTGGGCCCTGTTTACACCTGGTATTAAAGGGTTAGTTCACCCAAAAATGAAAATTCTGTCAGTAATTACTCACCCTCATGTTGTTCCAACCCCGTAAGACCTTCGTTCATCTTTGGAACACGAATTAAGATATTTTTGATGAAATCTGACAGCTGGATCACTCCTCCATAGGCTTCTTCAGGGATTGAACTTGCCGGCCTCGAAAAGTTATTAAAGACATTGTTAAAATAGTCCAAGTGACTACAGTGGCTCAATCTTAAGTTTATCAAGCGACGAGAATACTTTTTGTGAGCAAAAACAAACAAAAATAACGACTTTATTTCAACTATTCATGTCCATCTCCTTGGGCCTCGAGTCAGTTCACTAGTGTAATAGCGTAAGCTTCTGTTGTTGTACGTCACACGCATCACGCACATGACCAGCGTCGGCCAATAGTGAGCCTACGTGTGACGTAGCTCTACGGAATCACACTACGTTAACTGACTCGAGGCCCAAAGAGAAGGACATGAATAGTTGAAATAAAGTCGTTATTTTTGTTTGTTTTTGCGCACAAAAAGTATTCTCGTCGCTTGATAAACTTAAGATTGAGCCACTGTAGTCACTTGGACTATTTTAACGATGTCTTTAATAACTTTTTAATAACGAGGCCGGCAAGTTCAATCCCTGAAGAAGCCTATGGACTAGTATGGAGGAGTGATCCAGCTCTCAGATTTCATCAAAAATATCTTAATTCGTGTTCCGAAGATGAACGAAGGTCTTACGGGGTTGGAACAACATGAGGGTGAGTAAATACTGACAGAATTTTCATTTTTGGGTGAACTAACCCTTTAAGATGTTTTTCGTCGATCGGATCACAAGTGGACAACACTAAATATAGGTGTAAACGCGGTCTAAAACGTTTTGAGCTTGTCCACTTTCGACCACTTCCAGAGGTAGTTGAAAACGCATTCGACCGGATTGCTTTTGATTGTAAACGCTCATGGGGTCGAATGTGTTCAAACAGCCTCAAAAGACCCTCTCCACCTACTGATCTAATGCGTAAAAAATATGGGAATATGGGCTAGCCAGACGGGATTTAAACTTTGTCAGCTGAAGACCCAAGTTTGATGAAAAACATACCAATCTCAATGTTCTCTCACCATTCCCGATTTCTAACACACACTCACAGCGTTCATTCATATGTGAATTGCATGAGCTTATTTTGTCCATTAGATTGAAAGATCTGAAAAAACACATACATTTACCCACCCATAGACCCTCCCCTTGAAGAAATCAGGACAGAAGTGGTTGAAAGTGGACAAAAGAGACGGATTAAAACACCAGGTTTAAACAAGAAAGTGTCTCCCTCGTCTACTTGTGATCCGAATTATAAATGTATGTACTGTCACTTTTGATCATTACACATTACACAAGTCCTCTTGTGTAATGAAAGTAGGCTATTAATTTGTTTGAAAAAAAACTGACTGACCTCAAACTTTTAAACTGTAGTGTATATGCATTAATTTATATATACATAAACTGCATACATGTGTGCCATAATCTTGTCATTTCAGTGTTATTTTATCCCACTACACACACTCTCACCAGAAAGACAGCGATGGCTCCGCCAGTGAAGTTTCCAGCGAGGACGTCGGCCCAGTGGTTGCGGTATTCAGCCACCCTGACCACACCCACCAACATGGCCAGACACAGCAGAGTCAGACTGAGCGTGGGTTTGGTCAGACGCGTCCCTTTAGTCCTGAACACCAGCGTCACGTACATCTGCAAGCACAGGCAGACAGTGGTGAAGAATAAGACTGATACAATTACACACACACACACACACACACATACACACATGCACGCACGTCTGGTTCACTATCTTTGTGGGGACTCTCCATAGACGTAATGGTTTTTATCCTGTTCAAACTGTATATTCTCTCCCCTGACACTAACTCTACCCCTTAACCCAACCATTACAGAAAACGTTCTGCATTTTTACGTTTTCAAAAAAGAAAAAATTACTTGACGAGAATACTTTGTACACAGTGTTGGTCAAGTTACTTGGAAATAGTAATTAGTTACTGATTACTGATTACTTCTCCAAGAAAGTAATCCAGTTACTTTACTGATTACTTATTTTCAAAAGTAATTAGTTACTTTACTAAGTTACTTTTCAAAAACATGATGCACGACCTGAATACGCTATAAAGCAAATAGACCTTTCAGCCTACTTCTATTCTTTCTGCATATTCCATCATCTAAAATTGTATCAAATGAAACACTCTCTTTTTTTAAACTTGTTTTATTAGTTTCAATATTTTAACTTTATGCACATTGCATCAAGCAAAAAATAAATTAAATGCAACTGTCTCAGACTTTTGATGAACATTTAAACCTATTTTCTGCACATTCCACCATATTTTAATGAAATAAAGAAAGTCGTCCTTCTTCCTTCTTCTTGCTAGGTGCTTGCTCAGATTTGAGGTGGAATTTTGACATTCTCCAACGGGGGTCCTGTTTCTAGATCAGGATGCTCTCTACACACGCAAGGTCTCTCTCTCTCTCGCTCGCTCTGACGCTCTCCCTCTTTGAGGGTGCGGGTGCGCTACGCGGCCTCTGTCTCGCATGCACGCTCGCTCTAGATTCCGGGAGATTTAAACTATTTTGCGGTATAACTAGTCGATCACGAGTGGCTCAACAGGTAGATCTATAGATAAACTCATCTTTCAGGCATTTGACCGACCGGGTTGACACTTCAGCGTGAGAAATCGGGGGTGTGGCGTGTGAGACCAATCAAATGCGTGTCTCTCTCCCGCGCTCCACGTTGTCTCTTGTTCAACACTACACATTTCGGTGTTTACCACTGACGTCGCGGCGCTCATACATGATTGTCACTCACGCACGACTCATGGCACGAGACAGTCTCACGAAACAAAATGACGGTTAACTAACGCAGTAACGCAGCCTGCTTACGGGGAAGTAACAGTAATCTAATTACTGTTTTTGCAATTGTAATCCCTTACTTTACTCGTTACTTGAAAAAAGTAATTGGATTACAGTAACGCGTTACTTCTAACGCGTTACTGCCCATCAGTGCACACACATATATATATGTATATACACTCTAAAAAATGATGGTTCTTTAAAGGTTCTTTACACGCAGTAACAGTTCTATTTAGTACCATATCGTCCTGAAGAACCCTTTAAATGCTGAAATTTTGTGTTGGAGTTTAGGCTTCTTTATTCCCGCCTTTTTGTTTTTCAAATCTGTAGCTGTCAAAGCCTCCTCATTACTGATTTTCTGGAGCTCAGCAATACAACTATACACCGACTGTCAACATACTCTCAACATGTAAATTATTTCTTCCTTAAAATGTCTATAAATGATAACTTTAAAAATTGTAACTGGTTTCTTACCAATAATGTCTTTTTCTTTTATGAAGTAAGTAACAGAGATATGGAATTTATGATCCATATTGTTTGGTTTTTTTACTTTATAACTTTATGCCTAAACATACGTAGTCACGAAAATAGATAGATAGAAAATAGATAGCCCATTCATTTATGGTTGAAAATGTTAATGTTTTATAACACCATTAAGGTCCTATATAGCACTTTCAAGTCAAGTCAAGTCAAGTCATCTTCATTTATATAGCGCTTTTAACAATGGATTGTTTCAAAGCAGCTTTACAGAGATAAATATATAATTTAAGGTAACAGATTGTTTTGGCGTTATAGCGGTTCTTGAATAATGTTACTTCCAGCTAAAGTTAACTTTGATTGATTCACCTCCGTCGAAATGATCAGACTTTAAACGCGAACCTGTGATTAACGCTGACGGCGTTCACATGCTCATTCAGAATTCTATAGTTATGTGCTTTTTAAAATATGTGCGCAGGTTTGTAATTCATACAACCCAGCCTAAACAAACTACTTTTCTTGCCTATAAATTTTGATACAGAATTTTGTTTTATTTTATCACTTCGGGGTACGGGAGCCGGAATTCACAACGCTTTATCTAAACGTGGGTTTCAAAGCATGGTTCTTTATGGAACCTTATAAAAAGGGTTCTATTTAGCACCAGAAAGGATTCTGCTATATCGTTACAGGCCGAAGAACCCTAATTTGGTACGGTTTAGAACCATTTTTCTTAAGAGTGCACATACACATATTATATATATAACCTCGGCCATCTGGTCACGTTCAGAAAATCCAATCATATTTATATTAATTTGCAGTTTATTAACAGTTTATTTGTCTAAAAGAAGGTTAAAACCTTACAGAAACTGTCTTTAAAATTCTAAAAGGCAAAAGGCACCTGTTTCACAGAATGACACTGATGCAGGTGTGATTCCTGACACTCTTAACACTAAGACTTTCTTGTCTGAACAGATTCACCAGAAGGAACATGTTCAACCAGTTTCTCCATTTTCTGCTGACATGGCCATACCGGTGCACCAGCGAGACCAGTGCAAACTGCCATAAATCAGCTGGAAAAACACTGACATTCATAGTGGTGTGACTGTGAACTGCTCTTTCCAGCAATTACTTTTCTGTCCTGGGGTTTGTGAGATTGCTTATGAATCCAAAGATTTACAGCTGCTGCACTCTTTTGTTTGTCTGTCAGTACGTCCACAAGGGAGTCATTTCCGATTCAGTCATGAAATCACTAAAATGATTGAAGTAGTTCTAGGTTCATTACACTCACCACGGTATACACTGCAGAGTAAACACTGAGGGCCGCATCTTTGGAGGGAAAGGATTTGCGTGCAGATGCGACTATGAGAGGGTTCCCTGTGCAGGCTTTGCGCTCAGTGATGTACTGTAAGTTGGAATGGCATCCCAGTGCTGTGTAGTTCGGTCTGCACGCTGACAGGAAGTGAGGCGTCTGGGTTCCTGTCACCACCTGTCCAGCATTGGCGAAGATGGTGGTGGTGAACACGCCGAAGGTATAGACACCTGAGTGAGAGAACAGAGGTGAAATGCATCAGAAATGCATGCGGAAACATGTCAAAATTGAGACTGCTGATAAATTGGAGAGCATAGGCCAATTGAATAACATAGCCACTGTGTTATGAACTAGTCTAGCAGACAAACTAGCAGTTAGGGGTAGTCAGTCTGTCTTGAACCCGATCAATGTACCTTTTTATGCAACTGACTTTTAAAAGGTTATGACCAGTCTTGAAGAAAAAAATGATATGATAAATAATATGATAAACAAATGAAAAACTTGTAAGAATAGTCGTTTATTAAGTTTATGCAGCTGGCCAATCTTATATTAAATATTGAAAATATAATCACGTAAAATATATTTATAATATTAGCCTCCAGGTCATAAAATAAACAAAAATAAAACAACTTAATAATATTGTCCATCATATTAATTATTGGTCATAGTAAAATAAAAATATTTATAATATTGGCAATTATATTTGATTATTGGTCATAAAATATTTATTTGGTTTAAAAAGTAAAATAGTAACAGTCGTGTCCCACCGTGTGACACTTCGTCTGAAACTAAAAAGCATTTTTCTAATTCTTGTCCATTTATTATAAATGCGGTTCTTATGAACTTGAATTGATTGATAAATAACCTGGAATATTTGTATTTTAAACAAAAAAAAACTTAAAACAGAAAACTTGGTATTCAGTTACGGCAGTTAAAAATATATATTTACATGCATTCCCTTATATTTTCACCTAAAATGTTGAAAAAATACACAAACTGCATAAAAATAAAGGTTCTTCATTGGCATTTGAAGAACCTTTAACATCCATGGAACTTTTCCAAGTTCCAAGTAAAAAGTTCTTTAGGAAACCAAAATGTTTCCTTTCCAAGATGGCTGCATGTCTTTCTGTCTGCTCTTTGTCTGTTCATTTTTAACTTTTTTAAAGGTTTTTAGAGCACCTTCCACCGAAATAATCCAGACAGTGCCTTCATTTAACCTACCCTGTTATATTTGTGAGCTCTTGGCCTATTATTTGGTTTGAGGCCTATCTTCATACTACAACCCAGGGATCTGCTGCAGTGTGGCTCGTTTTCAGCCTAGATCTGTGACGGTTTCTTGTAACAGGACTTACAGCAAGATAACAACATCTATCTCCAGCTGCATTGTTGTTCGCCTCCAGCACACACTAAAGCCTATGCTATCTGGCTACAGCTATTCTGAGAGGTTCTCGGCCTATTCCACCTGGTCTGAGCCCTACCTGTTTGTCTTCGAGAGGATCTCGGCCTACTCCACCTACTCCAAGGCTTGTTTCCAGCACACATTGAAGCCTGTGCTACACTACTAAAGAATCATGCTTTACTTTATAAAAATCCTACTGGTTCTCGGGATTTTGTCATCCACCCTTTTGCTGCATGTACAGTATCAGGACCCCGGGCCTGTTGGTAAACGCAATCTAGGATTTGCCACAGCATTTCACTGTCGGGGAACATTAGACTTCATTCTTCAATCAAGAGATGTCACATCCTATTGGATTACTAAATCTGTTGGACTTTCTGTCACCCAGGTATTTCGAACCCTTCCATATTTTTCAATTATGGTTCTGCAGGAGCTGTTTGACTCTAACTTGTTACTGGCTCTGCCCTTTGTAAAAGACAAGCAATGGATTTGTTCTGGTGTTGCTTTTAGATGCATGTTAATTATTCTCATGTTATTTATCTCTGGTAATGTTCATCCAAATCCTGGCCCAGCTAACTCAGTTACTGCCCAGCTGTCATTTGGTGAATTTTGTGACCGCAAATCATTGGGTTTTCTACATGTAAATATCTGCAGTCTGCTGAATTCTAAGCATTTTGACACTTTAAAAACATTGGTGCACACAGCTAATCCTGATGTTCTTGCTATCTCTGAATCCTGGCTTAAAAAAGGGAACACTAATCTTGACATCTGCATACCAGGCTATAATGTGTTTCGTCAGGATAGCGTGACCAGGGGTGGTGGTGTAGCTATGTATGTTAAAGATCATCTGCAATGTACTGTTGTTCTTTCTAAGTCAGTTCCTAAACAACTTGAACTACTGGTACTAAAGCTTAGGCTTTCAACTACTTTCTCTATCTCTGTTGCTGTTTGCTATAGAGCACCTTCAGCTCCAGCTTCTGCACTTACAGCTTTTAGTCAACTCTTAGCTCCTTATATATCCTCTGAGTTTGTCCTGATGGGTGATCTGAACTGGGATATGTTCAATCCCCCAAATACAGTTTTGCAACAGTTTGACGCTCTAAACCTTACTCAGATGATATCTGAGCCCACCAGACCTAACCATAAATCTTCCGCATCATCCACTCTGATTGACCTTATTTTGACTAACAATCCATCTAGTTATCAAACAGGAGTGTTTAGTCAAATAAGTGATCATTGCGCTATTGCATGTATACGTTCTGGCCCTTCATTCAAAAGGCCCCCAGTAATTGTAACCAAGCGCTCTTTAAAAAAACTGGATATGCAAGCCTTTCTCCAAGATGTTGCGGCTGTGCCCTGGGATAGAATTAATTCCTTCCCTTACCTGGAAGAGGCGTGGTCTTTTTTTAAAAACACTTTCAGTCTGATTATGAGTAAGCATGCCCCTCTGAAAAAATTTAGAATAAAAAATCGATATAGTCCATGGTTCTCCAATGACCTGGCTGAGATTATTCATCGTAAAAATGCCCTCTGGAAAAAGGCCCGCTCTACCCAATCTCCAGTTGACTGGCTGGCCTTCCGTCAATGCAGAAATAAAGCAACACAGGCTATCAGAAATGCCAAAATCTCGCATTTTAAAGAGAAACTCACCACATGTGGCACTGATGCTAGGGCATTCTGGAAAACAGTCAAGGTAATGGAAAATAAAGTTATTTCCCCTCATTTACCAGTTTCTATGTTATTTAATGATATTATTATTACTGAGAAGTCTCGGATGGCCTCACTTCTAAACCATCACTTTATTAATGCAACCCATACAGTTTCAATGTCAAACCCTAATTCTGAATCATTGGATACTTCAGTTACAACTGGTGCAGATGCTCAACTTTCTCCATCAGACAAGAGGGGCTTCTCCTTTATGCCTCTTTCCACCTCTGAAGTCCAGGATGAACTCACCAAGCTGACTACAAACAAATCTGCTGGTCTTGATGGTCTTGATCCCATGTTCCTAAAAGCAGCATCCCGCATAATTGCCGCTCCCGTCACTAGACTATTTAACATGTCCCTACAGTTCTCTGAGTTCCCTATTGATTGGAAATCAGCCACAATTTTCCCCCTCTTCAAAGGGGGTTCTGAATCTGACCCAAATTGTTACCGCCCAATTTCCATCCTTCCATGCCTTGCCAAAGTTCTGGAGAAACTCGTACAAAAACAGTTAAATGATTTCCTGGATAAAAATCATATATTATTTGACATGCAATCTGGTTTTCGGATGGGACATGGGTGCATAACAGCCACCACAAAGGTCCTTGATGATGTAATTACAGCTTTAGACAGCAAACAGGTCTGTATTGCCACCTTTATAGACCTCGCCAAGGCCTTTGACTCTGTCGACCATAGGATCCTCTTACATAAGCTCTCCAGTATTGGTCTGTCCTCCTCTAGCTGTGATTAGTTTGCTAATTATCTCACCAACCGTGTCCAGCAATTAAAGGTTGACAACATTATGTCAGACCCACTCACTGTCTCTAAAGGTGTGCCTCAAGGCTCCATCCTGGGTCCAATCCTTTTTTCTATCTACATCAATGATATAGCCAGAGCTGTTGGTACCTCTCGGATTCATCTTTATGCAGATGATACCATTTTGTACTCAGTTGGTTCCTCTCCCAATTCTGCGGCTTCCAGTCTTAAACTCAGCTTCACCTATATAGAGCAGTTCTTTGACAGTCTCCAACTCCGTATTAACGCCAGTAAGACTAAATGTATCCTTTTTAGCCGAAAACAGGTTACAGAGACTCCACCTACAATCACCTGCATGAACGGTATGGCTCTGGAGTATGTCAAAGAATATAAATACCTAGGTATCTGGTTGGATTCATCCCTGTCATTCATTACACACATCAATAACCTTCAAACAAAAGTCAAAGCTAGACTAGCCTTTCTTTTCCGTAATAAAGCCTCCTTTACCCATGCTTCCAAATGCACCCTCGTTAAGATGACAGTACTGCCAATTTTGGATTACGCCGATATTATCTACAGAATGGCACCAAACACAGCTCTAAAAAAACTTGACACAATCTATCATTCAGCCATTCGTTTTGCCACTAATGCACCCTTCACACTCATCACTGTGACCTGTATAAACTGGTGGGTTGGCCCTCCCTTTATACTCGGCGGCTCCATCATTGGTTTCTCTTCATATACAAGACAATTCTGGGCAAGGCACCTCTCTATTTGTCATCCCTACTTCATGCCGCTCATAATACCTATCACACAAGATCAAGTAATTTGATTAAATTAAGTACCCCCCCTACTACCTTTGGACGTAATGCCTTCCGCTTTGCATCAGTACATGACTGGAACATACTACAAAATACCCTGAAACTTACATCTCTGATCCCAATCTCCACCTTTAAGCAAAAGCTCGAAAATTACAAAGTTGACTTTTGTTCCTGCTGACAATCATGAACCATATTTATACACACATATTTAAGCACTCTATTCCTTTTCTTTTTCCCCTTTGTTGTCTATCTTTTTTGTCATTTAGTTACTTGTTCTATGTGTTATGTGTTTGACTATGTACAGCTGTACAGTATGTTCTTATTTATTCCTGTAGCCTCTTGGCCAGGTCATGTTTGTAAATGAGAAGTGGTTCTCAAACAGTTTACCTGGATAAATAAAGGTTAAAAAAAAAAAAAAAAAAAAAAAAAAAAAAAAAGTTTCTCGCTATCAAAACACCTTTTGGAACCTTTATTTTTAAGACTGCATGATGATCACAATTTGTAGCATTAAAATGGCTTTTATACCCATAATGAACAAATATATTTTCTCCGATCTCCTAAATGTCCTGACCCTCATCCTAAAAGGTTCATTGTTGGTTCTTCTTCACTGAATGTACCTAGGAAGCGTATGATGCGTCTCAGCAGGGGGTTGAAGTAACAGCAGTCGGCGGTGACTATGGTCTTCTCCTGCGTGCCCTCTGACCTCATGAAAAACGCCATCACCTCGCCAGCCAGGATCTAAGGAGGAAAACACACACGAATCAATCGAACAGTAGCTTTGCTTCGGCCCGCCAGAACATCCTCCACCCCATTTGTTTCGGCGTCGTTGTAGCGTTGTTGCTCCATTTGGTTGAAATGCGAGTGCAGGGAAACATTCTTTCGTTTTCTGTCTCCATAAGAATTTAATCATGAGTTGCTAATAGTCCCTCATCTTCACTGTTCTCAAATGCCAACACCAGAACCTCATTATTTCTGATCTCCCTGGTAACGGTTAAGATGAGTAACAGCTCATCAACGTGACTAATTCTGCTTAGCAATGTGAGAGCTACACACACATCAGTTCTCTATGCGTTTAAACACTCATACTGTATGTCTCCTATATGCAACGCAAACAGTAAAAGCTCATTTATTATTCACAATTATAACAACACAGCTCAATTCTGATTGGTCAATCATGTCATTCTGTGTTTAAAAACTATGAACAATACTATGCTGAGTGTATGAAACCATCAAAATGCAATGACTTTTATAATACACACATAAACCATATATGTTTATGTGTGTATTGGGAAAGAAAACGTTGTGTTGTGAAAATTAGGGATGTCTAAAATATTGGAGACATATTTGTATATAAATAACTTGTGTATTAACAATTTGTATATAAGTAACACTAAAAGTCAAGTTAAAAATGTAGCAGTTTTTTGAAATTATGCAATTCATGGAAATTTTACTACATTTCAATTCCTTTATTTTAAGAGCATTCACGTTTTAAGAACATTTACTTGGGTCCGATAAACCTTTTAAAAATAAATAAAATACTCACATTATTAAAAAAAAGAGCCATGTTGAAAGCCATGTTGAAAAAAAATGTACGGGATGGGATGCATGAGATCATTAAAAAAATATATAAATAAAAAAAATAAAAAATAATAATCAATAAAGTGAGTAACACTAAAAGTCTTCTAAAATATTTGCATGTTGTTGTGATTATGCATTTCGTGCAAATACTACTATAGCTAAATTTTTTATTTAAAGTGCATTAACATTTTAAAAACCTTTACTTGCGTACAATAAATGAATTCTGACTTGTGATGCACGCTGAATCATAATCACACTGTGTTTGTTTGTTGAGCAGTGGAGAACTGGCTCCCCGACTGAGCCTGCTTTTATTATTCTCCATTCTGTCACCTGATGGAGTTTGGGTTCCCTGCCACTGTCGCCTCTGGCTTGCTTAGTTGGAAACTCTTAATATTCAACAATATTACTGATCTGACCCTGTTGTATGAGAACTGAAAGGGCTGGACAATGACATCACTGTTTTCTCCAAAGCTGCTTTATAGATGAAATTAACTAATTTAATAATTAATGATCTTCAAACCAGAACTGACTAAACGCTGAACAACAATCGAAATGCATCATTTTCCTGTTTATCATTGTAAAGATGCTTTGAAACACTGAACGAAACATCTGAACCATACTGGTAGACAAGACAGAAGAACAGGAGACCATAAACACAGACATCAAATCCATGAGCTTAAACTGGAAGAGACAGACAGAGACAGACAGATACGTCAGGGACGAGACAGTGAGGGACAGGGACACAGCGTTCACCTCACACATCTCCCAGTTTAGCACCTGAGCGCTGACACAGACTGACATCAGTGAGGAACTGACCAACAGTCAGTCCATGTGACTCATGCAGCAAGAGCAAGTTTGGAGGGCTTGGAACGATAAGGGTGACCGATTTTCATTTTTGGGTGAACTGTTCTTAAAAACCAACTTTGATGTCGTGGTTCTGCATCTAATATAGTGTGTTGGTGAGAGTGTGAACATCAGTTCAAGTGTGAATAACGCACCATTAGATGAGATAAAGCCGAGTTTCTAGATCCTTCTATCAGCTTTTAGAGCCTGTCATGAGCGATTAGGCTTGTGGCTCATGCTTCTCATATTAATGTATATTATAAAGCACAACTCAACAGCACAACGGCTCCCAACTAAAAGTGTCACCCTCAGGATCTGATGTCTAATTCCCACCATATAATCACTTGATACCAGTAAGTTATATGAGATCACAGCACAGACAAGAAAATCCACAAAAATAAATAAAATGGATAGCTCAAGATTTATATTTAGTTAACATTCATTAAGCCAACATGACATCAAAATGAACCCCGTTTACTTTGTTTATACAAGTTTCTGTTGTAATCTCTAATGAATATCCTATTTATGGACAAAAACAAGTAATACATCATATTACAGAACTACAATGGGTTGTGAATGTCAAATACATCCGGATGTTTATTATTTAGGTAAATCAGATGAAAATGGGAAGTGATTCCACAATATTAAAAACATATTCAATGTTTCATATTCAACATATTTAACACTAAATATGATCAAATTTTTTTTGTCAAAAATGATAAAAAAGTAATATTTGAAAAATAAATTTAAAAAAATGAAAGCTTTAGCGCAAGTTCTGCCGGGAAGACTCAATTGTTACGTCATTCATTACCTTCTCATCTATCCAATTGCGTCTAACATTGTGGTATAAAAGATGGGTACTTACACATGTCTGAGTTCGCAGATGCTGACGCTTACATTCATGCTCTCGTTCAGTCGCGTTCATTCATGCTCTCGTTGAGTCGCCAGCCAACATGTTTCAGGACACGCATATTGTTACTATTATTGAGTTCAGACGATGGATATGTCCCGCCATATCTCCTGCTACACGTCGAGGTTCCCGCGTTTAGTATGGTTTAGTGCCGCATCTCCCCGTATAGTGGTCTTCGGAGAGTTTTTGATCAGCCAAGGTCTCTCATGAGAAGTTCTGCTCTCTAGGCCTAAAACACCCTGGGTAGCCAGTTTCCATTTTCCGTCATCAAAAGCCTCAACAGCGTCAGCTCAGCCAGGATAATCCGGCAGGAAGAGATCTATGTCATCCTCAACAACTTGTCCAGCAAAAGAACCTCGCTGTCTGCACGGGTGCATTATCCCGCAGATCACCGATCCACCGACATGAATCATCAACTCTGCAAGCCACGAGAGGCGATCTTCTCTCGCTGGTCCAAGTTCAAGCTCCACTTCCAAGGCTTTCAAGTCGGTTTTTCAGTTTTGGTAGGCGCTTCCACCAGCCACTGTTAATATGTCCCCTCTATCATGATTAAACTTCATCCAGGCAAGTATTTCTCCGTTGCTTCCTACACCAGCGGCAGAATTCAAATTGGAGTCCACGGTGACGTGGCGTACGTGTTCATAATTACTACTGATCTGCAGACTGCAACGGGGCCCGATAGCTCGCCTTAAAGGGAAAATGTTCATAGCAAGTGTAAACCAGTTTCGCGTCACCGATATTCCACAGTAGGCTACAGTGATCTAATAATATCAGCGTTGTCGATACCGTTTGCAAATACTCACTAACAACTGAGTAACTGGTTTAAAAATAAATAAATAAATAAACCTGAGCTAAAGAGAGCAAGTTGTTCATTGGCTGTTATGCATTCTGTAGTGGATATCTCTACAATGGCAGTTAATTACATATTTACATAAGTGTGGTCATTTCACAAACAACTATTTTCAACATAGGCTACTTTAAAATCATATTATTAGTCCCCTAATGGAAATTAGATCTACAATATTGGAAATGTGTACAATTGCTGTAATATTCAACCTTCCTGGTGACTACTTAATCCACTGATATGCGTGATAGAAATATTTTATGTGATGGGTATTTCCACATTAATGTACAGAAAAATGCAAACTAAGGATGCTCCTGTCAAAGGCCACATATCCTTAGCAAAAACTGTTAACTCAGTAGAACTAACAGTCATATTAGTTTTATCAAGTCAAACCAATCAAACAGAACTAATCAGTGAAGGAGCCTCGAGTGGCATTGTCTTTGCTCAACTCAACTGTATGATTTACATGTTCATGTATCTTTCTATTCAAGAGTCTCAACTATTGTTGTGGCCAGCGAAGAATGGGGCTATTTCTGCAAAGAGCTACTTGGGAGCCATGTCAGGCATATGCTGCACATCTGAGAAAAGGATTCTACGCTCAAGACAACAGATCAAGTATCATTTAGGTAATGATAGTAGCTTCTTGACAGGACGCCGTCACCTTACTTCAGGTAAGTACCGTATTAAGAAGTCAGATTTAGCCGGTTTAAGAATTTAATAAATAAAATTAAAAAACACACACTACTAGACAAAGGGTGCACGTCCAATCTCAGATTCAGATATCTAGATCAGTAAAGGCTAGATGAATCTTCTAAGCTTACTCAAGGTTCGTTTCGTCCGCTCTTCACAAAATCATTCTATAGCGGTCGTTAGCATCCTTAGAGATATGACGTGGTCGCAAAATATATTATCGTTGTGCTAACAAAGCATGGTTGTCATCAAGGCAGATCTTATTGTTAGGCGATCATGCCATTCCTGAGACGTTAATTTGGCTATCAATCGTCTTTAATCTCATAATTAAGGTCGTGCTTATTCCTGCCAATGCAAAGCCATAGCTACGCGCTTTCATTCTTGTTACAGGCTTTCAGACGGCTTTTGCCGTTCAGCAACCCGGATCCATCACCCTGCCCTCTTCTAACAGAGTTTGTTAAATTAGTAATGTTTTGCTTTTCTTTTCAGATTCCTGTTTTCACATCCTCATCATCACGGCCGATTGTTCCTTCCTCGTCTACAATTACGAAATCGTAATTTAATATTTCTTCCATTCATAGTTTGCTCGCAGGCATTCAAATTCACGCAAGTATTTTAATACTAATTATCCAACTCTGTTCACCATACCTTCTCTTTGTTTGCTACTTAAGGCATAGCCAAGACCTGTAGTAAACCTCCGATAAACGCCTGCCAATCACTTTGTATCACAAAGATAAAAATGTGTATAATTGTGCCCTTTTCGCAGGATATGTGTTCAAGTTCATTTATTTATATAGCACATTTATACAGCCGCTTAGACAGACCAAAGTGCTTTACAGAACACACAAATAAGAAAAGTAAAACAGCAAAATA